AGTGCTTAATACCGGTTTTCCGTGAGGCCGTGGTATAACTCCGGATGAGCCGAAAGCACGGTCAAAACTGTACACCGTATAAAGTATAAACAGTATGTACGGCAGGTCAAATCCATCAACAGCCTTTAATAGTCACTAGTACTATGCTACGCTGGCCAGATGGGTCGGTATAGGGTTTGTGTTAAGTTTTCCTTCTTTTTGCAGTGCTATTGTCCTGCGTAGTGTGCTCCCTTAGTCGGCTCTTACGGCACCATATATACACAAATAAATATCTAAATATTACGAATCGCTTTCTAGAACCGCCATTTAAATGATGACCTTAAAGAACAAATAACGCAATGATAGAGGTTAATATCGATATAATACAATGGCGTAGATACTACCCTAGTTGTGAAACAGCCGCTGGAGAGCGTAGGCAGTACTCCCCTCTTATCCAAATGGTGGTACTCTAGAATTTTCTAAAAATAATCAGGCAAATTACTTTTTCGCTATAAATATAACAAAAATTATTGACACGTACTATAGCGGACAGGCTGTAGACAGTGCTGTAGGGTTTCCTTTTGGTTTAGTAATTTATTTCGACAATAAACTAACAATATAAAAAAGAAAAAGTAACACTGGTCAAAAAATATATTTTTTAGAATCGAGTTGCGTCGTTGTAAAACTAAACCATCTAGAAACTCACTCAAACACTCGCAATGCCGTAAAAATTGGTCCAACGTTTTAGTAGTAAATTTAGTAACAAATACTTGTATTTAAAAATTGTATATATGTATAGAGATATTAAATAATATAATATTAGAAATATATTTTTAATAAATCTACTCTCCCGGGAATCTAGGCAGCGGCGGAATCTATATTGTCGAGTGTCTAATGCCACTTACCCTGCTAGTTTGATCACAATTGTAGCTCTGCCATAGACTAACTTATCTACAATGCGTAGAGAGAAAAGAATTGGCTGCATATTTTATTTAAAAGTATTTCCGTTATAAACAACTAACATTTTGTATAGTCTACTAAAATTATACAGACGGGTATACGGGCAATTCAGATAAAATGTTTGACGCCAACAATTTTCTTACCATCTATTAGTTTACAAATTGAATTTGTAAACGAATTTATTTAAATTTATATACTTTACGTAAGAATTATTATTATGTAGGATAAGACTGAACTAGGAAACATGTAATTCTACACCGTTGATCACTTTATACTTAAGCATTTGTGTGCTGCTGATCCTCTGTCACGCATAAGACATCATCATCATCAACAGCCTTTTATAGTCCACTGTTGGAAATAGACCTGTCCTTAGAAAGGAGGTTTTGGCCTACTATACCACGCTGGCCAGACGGATTGGTATAGGTTTTGTGTCAAGTTTTCCTTTTCTCTGCAGTGCTGTTGTCCTGCGTAGTTTGCTCAATTAGTCGGCTCCTACGACACCCAGGGGATGAATAGGGGTGGTGACACTCTGTATTCTTAATCCGTCACCACACGGACAGACGTATGACATTAGAAGACCCATACTTCGATACAAATGTGACCACGGCGTCACAGAAAACCAAGTCTCCAACAAGTTGTTTTTCACCGAATGACTGAGGTTATCGGAGGCGCAAGACGATCTATAGAAGTAAATAAAAATGTAATACATAACCTCTTTCTATCATCACAAGCTTAAATAAAAATATTAGATTCACAGTACTTAAGAACAGCAGTTGGTAGCCTTGAATAATCAGAATTATTACGAGTGAATTTATTTATCTTTAAATCATCGAATAATATTATCTACGTAAAACGGAAATCATAATTAATCTGTTGCTAACCGTTTTATTACTTTAGTTATTTTTGTTGTGTAGCCAATTAGTTTTTGCTCTTATAATAATACATAGTAAATGGAATTAAAAACTTTAATGTTGGTAACACGCAATAGCCAACTTACTTTATAGTTCAACTTACTTCACTAGTAAGTTGAACTATATACAGTTTTTAATCGGTTGATCTCTTCCTTGCTGTCGTGTGGCTACTAATTATGTTTGTTGCTCTTTGAGCTTTAAAAAAAGTCAATCATTAAATCAATTATATCTTAATAACAGATTCCATTAAAGGCAACTGGTTTCTTTATAAATTTTAAATATAAAACTCTTAACGTTAAAAAAATGGCGGTCTTTACTTAAAATATGCTTAACATTGCTTATTTGGCTTTAAGAATGTATCTACCATTTTGTAGAGAGACACAAAAGCATTTTATTTGCCGCAAATTGGTCGGCTCGACTGGAGTGATGCCACGGCGACAGAAAACCATCGTTAAGCAATTCTTTTGTTTCTCAAACTCCCAAAACTGGGGAGAGGAACTCAAAGGGCGGTAACGGCATTGAGACTTGAGTTGCCCGTCTGCTCATTTGTCTATCATCATCATCATCGACAGCCTTTATCCACTCCGCGACATAAAGAGGAGGTTATAGCCTGCTATACCACGCTGGCCACACGGGTTGGTATAAGGTTTGTCTTCTCTTTGCAATGCTGCTGTCCTGTGTGGTTTGCTCTCGTATTCCGTGTTGACACTCCGTATTCTTAATCCGTCACCACACGGACAGGGTTTGCCCATTGAGGGCCATACAAAAACACTGTCAGATATCATCTGTAAGAATTTTTAAATCCAAATATTAAATATTTGAAATACAAAGTTAGTGGCAAAATACAAACTTAACCAGTAAATATAATAATTATAATTTTACTGTTATAATGAATTTGCAAAATAATTACTATTTGTTGACGACTGGGTAATTTATTGTCTGCCAAGCTGCATTAAGCCAGCGCGTGATAGACTATATCAAGCTGTCCGTGAGTTACTAGGATAAAATATATTGCTTGGTTCGGATATCGATCTTAACTAAGTGTCTTTGGAGGAACGGGTGTCATGGCCCTCCTACACAAACGTAGGATCTTCCGAACAGGCGAGGTGATCAGGCCTGACGGTTCGCGGCCCAACGGTTGATGTTAGTAAGTATATATATGCTAATCGGCGTGAGAACTTTTCGCATCGTGATACAGTCTTACCTGTTACTACGTAGTTCGATGTGTCTTCGTTAGATGGCGCTATAGTATGTTTTTTTGTTTCGTTCGATGTGGAAGCCATGCATCCATTACGTGATCACAGAGAGATAAATGGATTATCATTAAAAAATCGATACTATTACTTGACGCCCTAACCTCTGAACCCAGAACTCGGGTTTGAAAAATTCCTTCTGCGTTTTGTATACATGGATACGACCTTTAAGTGTTGAACAGTGCCGCAGGTGAAACTGTGCATAACGGCTAGGTTATGAATAAAATAAAAACACGAATAAATTACACGAGCTTGCTGCTGTTTAATGTTATTTAAAATGTACGAGTAATTTTTAGTTTTAAAGTGATATATCTCGAGTCGGTAATCTTAAGGTCACGGTTTTAACTATAAATACAAACTATCCATACTGCTTTATTACAATAAAATGAATTTGTTTTTTTTTCTGGTACGCTTAGATCTTTCGAATTAGGTAGGCAACGGATTTTAATGCGGCTTTCACCAATAGAGAGAGTGATTCAAGAGGCGGGTTTATATGTAATACATGCATATTATAGTAGAGGAAATACGAGAATTTTAAAGATTTGTAATGTGAATTAGGAAAAAATCATTTTTTTGTGCGCTTATGTTCCTCATAACGACTTTTTACCACGATATCCGACATAGATGCGTTGTGTTGAATCCATAAGTACATACATTCACGCCTAAAACTCGGAAGGAGTAGACAGAGGTGTATTGAACGCTTACATTTTACCAACGATAGTGTCCCTTACGTACTCGTAATAGGACGCAAGTCTGTTGCCGTCAAAGTATTCAAAGTTATGTAAGTGAGGAAGGCAATTGCTAATACGGATGAATTCGATTCTAAGCTATCAGGTCAGGGTCGCATACGAGTACATGTAACTTGAATTGGCTGTTGCTTTGAAGTCGATGTTCTTCTGCCATTTTTTAAATATAATGTAAATCTGTATATCTTGGAGTGATACCACGGCCTCACAAAAAACCGGTGTTAGGCAATTCTTTTGTTTTCGAGCCATCAAATCCCCTTCCCCAGAATCTGGGGTTTGTAGGTGTTCATTGGCGGCGGTAGTCACTTATTATCAGGTGACCCTCCTAGCTTGCCCCCTATTCCTTAAAAATATATATATAGTTAAACTTTATGTAATATATTGTGTTGAGGGAAGATAAGATGTAAGTTTAATCTAAAGCTCGATAGATGGAGATGTACCCTTTTTGTAAATCTCACCATGTTTTTTTATTCACGCGGAAATAAATGGCCACCTAATTGCGTTCAATTAGACTTTTTGAGTTTTTTTTCCTCCAGTGCGGGAATAGTCCTGTATAGATCTGAACCGACCAAAAACCGCACGCCGTCTCGGGTACCAGTTGCCGGGAACTAGGTGTACTCTAGAAAGGAAATCCTATGTACCCCTACGTAACTTTAATTCACACTAGGCTTCATTCCCATGGCGAACCTGGGCTAAAACATATTGTAATTTTATTATTAAGAAAGGTGATATTTAAACCGACATAAAAACAATATTATTACCATTTTTAGTCGTTGTTTTATTGCAAAACGCCATTGATTGACATTGAAGTACGTTTACATAATACCGTTTAAGAAATAAACGTATGAAAACTATTTTTACAGTACGTGCACAGATAATATTGTACAGTTATGCTTTCTAAGAGTTTGAACATAATACTTCAAATCAGATTCTTAGTTTCGTAGACTTTTCGTTCTACAGCAAAAATAAAACGCTAAAATATTTTTTTTTTAGTTTAGCGTAGTGTTCTAATGTTTGTCCAGCCTCTCCCGCTATCTTAATCCAATATTTTTAATTTTGTTCATTTATAGTGACCATTTCCAAATATTCGTGGATATAATATTACTTAATATTATTAGATATAATAATATTCTTCTGGTTTGTGATGGACCATGGAAATAGCGCTGTTCACGTGTAAGCAGTGGCAGTGGCTTAATGCAGAAAGGTGGTCTCATTCTGCGCGGATATGGTGCACATTGGCACGCAAATTCAAACTGAAATTAGTATTATTCATCAGTTGTTTTATAGTTGTATCTCATGTATTCTGCCATTTGCTCGGAATTTAATATATATTACATTTCATTGCATTCATTTCTTTTCTTGGTACAATGCTGATATTTCAGCTGATAAAATAATGTATTCTTTGTTGGTATAATTTATTAGAAGCCGAGTCGCTACCCCACAATTGAAGGCCATATGTCTAGATTGGTGGCAGGATGACATGTCCATACCAAGATAACCTATTATTTCTTAACATTTTATCCTATCCTCCATCCGAGTCACACCACACATCCACCTTAGCATTGACATTTTGACTATATGCAGGTAAACTAAAAACTAAAAATGGTAATTCGAAAGTAAACTGGGTAAATGAATGGAATTAAAGAATCTATATATTTTTACGCAGTTGGTTAGTTGTTTTTTTTGTCTTATCTTGTCTTATAATACAATTTAAAATTGCTAGTTTCATATTTGGTATGGGACGGAATCCAGTTACCATGTTCACCGCACTATTTCCTTATAGAGATATATCGCGCTTTGAGTTCAGTATTTTTCGATTCATTTCCTTAAAAAAAAATATGTTTATAAGTCGAACTATAAAATAACTTAGAATAAGGAAAAAATTTCGTCTAGCAATTTTTGCGTGTACTATTTATTCTATGGATTCAAAATTGCTAAGGTTTATATCATCACGTTAAGACCCTTAGGAATGGGTAGCGACCATAAACGCAACAGAAATTTTTAATATCGAGACAGGGAGATATCACATCAACAGCCTATAATAGTCCACTGTTATTTGACAAAGGGTCTTAATATTCTTTTTAAACAAAAATGTACTGAACATATTGATTTTATATTTCCTAAAAAGATACTTATTTGATTTTACACTCATAGCATAACGTAAACTGTATCAATAATAGTTGTCACTAACATGAGTTTTTTTTTTAGATGCCGCAAGTTACAATTAACAAGTAGTCGAATTGTTTTTTCACGTACACCCGCGTTGTTATCTGACGTGCGCAAGCGCTTCCCATGTCAACACTAATACAAAAACCCAACGCACACATAAGGCCCGCGATATAAAAGTACTCATTAAAATAACGGTTTTCTGTCTCTTTCAAACCGACTAAAATATGAAAATGAACGAGTTTAATAAAATGGATGTAGATTTTTTATAATTTTTGTTACTTAATTTGAATAGCAATGTTCATTATAAAATTATTTGTCGTTAGAATTGAACCCACGACTTGTGGCTTAGCAATGAGAATTGCCAACAAATAACCACCAGCCGTCTGGTCACGGATCGTCCGTATGGTGACGGATTAAGGAGTGTCAGCACTCCTATTCATCCCGGGACAACAGCACTGCCAAAAGAAGGAAAACTTGACATAAAGCCTATACCAACCCGTCTGGAAAGCGTGGTATAGTAAGACAAAACCTCCTTCCTAAGGAGTGGTATATGTCCAGCAGTGGACTATTAAAGGCTGTTGATGTGATACCAATAGGCTGCGCATTGGCCTAAGGCCCGCCCAGGTCTTCCAGAGTTCTCTGGAAGTTCTTTCCTATGGTATATATCTGAGTGCCTTGCTATAGACGACTGAGCTGTGACGGAAAAGACATATTGGCGTGATCCACCCTTTTATCAATTTAAACTTGACTGCACGGATGTCGTAGTGGTTTTAGCCGTCACCTCGCCACTTCCTACTGTGCTTTCCTGCTGTGCTGTATGTGATCCATAATTTTTTGTTATGAGTCTGGGTATTCTGGAGAAAACAACATTTTAACACAGTATTAATAACTACTTCTCTACATTTTTTTACCTCTGGCAACAAACTTTACATCCCGCACTATTCCTTAAAAAATCAATTTCCGTCCGTAACGCCATTAGGTATGATAAAATAATAGTATAATTTGTAAATATGTAAATGTAAAATTCGGAACCCACAGAACTAGTCACGGCGTTGTTGGCTGGCCTTCAACTTGACTCGAACGAACGTCCCGACCTCGAGGCTGCTTTCGTCACATTGTTACGTTCAATGTGCGTTTATATAAGACTAGCTCACCTGCGGCACTTCGTTTTTCATTGATGATGGCTCCTATTGGTGGTAGCGTGATGTTATATAGCCTATAGCATTCCTCGATAAACTAAAGATATATATATATATTTTTTTTATTTATTTAACATATTACAAAGCAATTTACAACTACTGATTATAATAGTGCATTTGAAAACCACTGAGGTTTGTAAAAAATGCAACAGATGCTACATCAAGCGATGCTAATCTAATTTGATAACATAATTAGTAAATAACAATTGTGTTATAATCGAATCGTATGCGGTCGTTACAAATTTACAAAACGTGTAAACATTTTCGAAATTGTCCTTTTGATAAGAAGAATAACAAAAAAATAGATAACACAATACCATATCTACCTGTGATGGTCTATCACCGCCCGTATCCGATTGAGCCTTGTGGGAAAAAATCAAGGAAACAAATTCACGGCAACTCTAGGCGAAACAATAATTAGTAAATTGTATTACATCGATTATTTTATGTGCTATTGTATTATGAATATTAAAAGTTAAACAAAAAAGGCTATGAAAATACTGGGCAAATAAAAATAAGAAAAAATAAAAAAGTTACAAAAAAAAGCATGAGAAACTTTATGACCGACTATTGTTTAATGTTAAAAAAACTTATTCATTATTGTTTATTCTTGTCCTCAGGTAAAGAGGTACAAAAACGATGGCGGTCCATTCGCGACTCCTATACGAAGACGTTCAGACAGGGCAAGTGCGTGCTCCCGGAGCAGTGTCCGCCGAGCAGTAGGAGATATCAATACCATCAACAGATGTCATTCTTATTGAAGGCACTGCAAAACAAGTTAGTATTTTATCGTAACAGCAGAGTTAAGGAACATTACTGAAGGCCAAATAATGGATGGGTGAACTACTACAAATCCAGTCTCTGCCAAATGTTTAACAGCGTTACAGCATCGTATAAACGTTGTTTTTAAATTGTTCTGACATATGCCTTCATTTCTATTAGTAGAACCTTACTTCACTTCCTTTCCTTCTACTTGGTGGACTGCCTTTGAAGATACTTTACACCCAACCCGGGTGTAAAGTCTCCTCAAAGCGTTCCCATCCCGTTGCGTTCCCTCAAAGCCACCTTCGTTCGTTCTATTCGTTCTTTTTAATTCTTTAGTTTTCATTCGCCTCCTGCAGAAGTTAAATTCACTGTTGTTAATTTTGTTCTACAATACTCAATTATTTAAATCAAGCACGTAATGACAATAATTGAAGTTTATTTTCATTATTATTTAATTTTAAAGGTTATATTGCGGGTAATGACGCAGAAGTAAAAAGAGCGAAGAATCACCCACCCGATAAAAACCTATATGATATGGAGACGTGCTACTTATCTCCACAACTTTCTTCTTCGACGTTTAAATATATGATAATTTTCATTTCAATACGTATGTATGTATGCAGGAATATACATAAGGCTCCCTAAAATTGACCACAAATGCCTGTAAAAGTTAAATAATTAATTGTCCACCATTTCAATCTTCATATTCCTCTGCTTACAGGAAACCTAGATACTCCCAAGACAAATACGAATCGTTCTCCGAGCTTTCAAACTCCCCCCAGCACCCGCCTCCTGAAGATATTCTGCCAAAAATAAAAAACGAAATCATAGAGAAACCGTTAGACCTCAAAACCAAAAACGAGGAGAAACAAACCTCAGATAAATGCAACCAAGCCAACTGTCTGGATGCACCACCAAACTCCCTGGAAATCAAAATTGATGCAAATTCAATCTTACCCGAAGACCATTTTGATGATGACAAGCTTTTCATGAACTCCTTAATACCATTATTCAAAAAAATGAATGATGATACCCGATTACTGTGCAGAATTGAGGTCCTTAAGATCATCAGGTACGCTCTACAAGGGCACAAGTGTTTTGAGGCCTTGAAGGTAGCTGAAGACAATTACTTTAAGGATCGGATGAGCGGGATCCTGGCTAAGGAGGATACTGACGTGTCTAACAGCTCGCAGAAAGGTCAAGAGTCGAGGTTATCAATGACCACACGGTCAGCTGATGGCAGTAGACCCGTCAGGAAAAGGAGAGTAAGTAGTTTTACATAGTATGTTATATCTGTTTTTAAGGAAAACTTAAACAAACCTTATACCAACTCGTCTGGCCGGCCTGATATAGTAGGCCAAAACCTCCTTTCTAAGGAGAGGCCTAGGTCCAGCAGTGGACTCTTAATGTTGTGATATCAAACTCAATCTTACAAAATATATTCAAAATTTCTCTTGGCTTTATCGCTCCCATTCCTAAGGGTCTTAACGTGATGATATAAACCTTAGCACGTTCAAATACAATAATTTAGTTCAGCAAAATTAAGAAAAAAACGCTTGAATTTGCAAACCGAATTAAGAAGTAAAAAGGAGTTCCAATACTTCATCTCCTGACTTTACTGGGAGAGACCGAAAGAATGTTTGTCAATTCTGACAGATCGTGATCAATTAATCTATAATACGTATGTATATTTAATTTTAGTAATACAATTTTAGGTAAGTTTATTACCAGTCTGGTAACCATAGTAAAATGTGTAAATAAAAAAATTGCCAAATTCTGGTTGCTCGTTAAATACTCAGTAAATAAAAAATATTTTGTCATTTTGTTTATTCATTACAAAGATTTTACACCATATAATCAATGGACTACCATAGACTTACTTGAGATGGTACTCAAACATCTAAATGTATGTTCAAAAGTCACTGCACTCCCATAAAACCTTGACAACGCTATTGAGAAAACTATGAGTAACTATGAGTAAAATAGGTGACGTCATTAAAGCAACGCAGCTTTTTTAATCGAATGATACGAGGAATTTGGAGTCTACTAAAGATTATGAGATATTATTTAAAGTGATTTTTATTCATATCCGGTCGCCGAGGTAGATAAAATATTGTAATAATAAAAAAATAAAAAATTTAAAATTATGTTGTGGGGTGTGTTATAAAAAAAATATAACTAAAATTGGTAAATTGGTGGCATCAAATAGAAACAAAATAACAAAATAAAAGTCTCGGGCGCCAGATACCACCTTAAAAGAACACAGAACCCACCACAAACACAACAAATACCTCGGACATCTCAGCCAGCTTTGAACCTTTTTAAAACAAAGCGGGAGGACAGCTAATGAATACAAGGTGTTAGGTTCTATTGGCAGTTTATTTTCCCGTAGTGTCTGTAGAGTACAATGTGTCTTATGTCTCTAATTACAATAGGTAATTCTTATACACAAATTAGTACTGTCATTAATGCAATCCTTTCCAATAAGAAAAATAAGGTTAAATAAATTTTAAAGAGTCACATAAAGACTAAATAGACAAAACAGTAAACTCTAAGGGTAGACATAGCATTGACCTACTCTCTAATGAAAAATAACACCCCTTGGGGACCTGCAGTGTTCAATGCCACGTCGCCAAGAAAAATATAACAAAAACACATACCGATGACCTTGGATCAGTCCGAACGAAATGAAATCAAACCAACTCCGAAACTTCCCACTCCGGTTCCCACGTGGTGTAAGAGGCGGGTTAGTACTCCCCTGCTCCAGACGATGGCGTGCAGCTAAGCAGCTTTTTCTACCATTCTGAGCTCCACAGCAAACTAATTTCTTGGGGTTAAACTCCGGCGAGAGACAAAAATCGAATGCCACGCAAGGACATTCCAATAAGAAAGTAAAATAATTTAGGTATTGTAAAATCTTTAGATATTAACTAAAAAAGAAAAGAAAAGAACCCTGATTCATCTGCAAATAAGGAAAAATTATAGGTTAAAAGCCTATCTCACAGTACGAATCATAACTCTGACAAGAAATCATATTTCACTTACCAGGGTTCCAAAACGCTTCACAAATCAAACAGCGGCATTATAAGCATTATAAGCATTGCCTGTAACCAATTAAACAAAGAGTTAAAACCACAAATTCCGCCAAGCCAAGCGTGAAGCACGTGGCCGAACAAAACTCACCTTTTTTACGAAAATAAAAACTCAATCAATAATTTGATTCTTAACGAGGTTGGCCGAAAAATAAAAGTAAGAAATAAGCCCTCGTAAGACATAAATTACAACAAAAAGTCTACATTTTAAAAGAATCCAAACTGCTTCGTCCGGTCCGACGCCAAAAGTGAAAAAAGTGATACCAGTGCAATAACCTCTCGCTTCATAGAGCGGGGAAACAAAAATGTTGCCAGTACAAGAAAAACTAAATCGACTAAACAATCGCGGGCGAACAACATCGAATATCACTCCCGTCCGTCCCCCGACCATCGGCACTCGCAGAAACGACAAAAAATTCAATCTAACAAAACAAAAACGAGACAAAGGTTCAAATTACTGTAATGGCGCGAAATGCACCGTTACATTACATACCTTCCCGAAAAAAAATAAAAGAAAGGACTCTTTCTTTTATGCTGAAAAGTCACTACTCAACAAAATATATCAAACAAAAAGATTGCAAAATGTCTAAACTCCAAAACTGACTCTACCAGAAACTCTACTAAAACTCTACAAACTCCAGGAATACAAAAATCCATACGCCAAAAAGGACTAGGAAACTAAATATAAGATCAAAATATACTCTACAACAAAATCACACAAACCCAAAAACAAATCCCTACACCAAGCTACCATTAAGACTGGAAAGTCCAAAAAGTGCGGTTGGACACCCTCGTCACCGACTCTAATGGAGCTACAAACACAACAAAATATACTACACAAACTGCTTCCATTGGGAACTGTATATCTAAAAAGATACCAGTTTCCACGAAGTGCGGTTGGACACCCTCGTCACCGACTCTAATGGAGCTGCAAACTACAACAAAATACACTAACAACAACAAAGTAAACTTCACAAACAACATCCATTAGGAATTGTATCTTAAAAGATATCAATATCCAAGAAGTGCGGTTGGACACCTTCGTCACCGACTCTAATGGAGTTACGAACTACACAAAACAAAACAACATCCATCAGGAAATGTATATCTCAAAGATATCAATATCCAAGAAGTGCGGTTGGACACCTTCGTCACCGACTCTAATGGAGTTACAAAACGCTTCACCCTAACTTCAAACACATGTCAAACATGTCGAACCAAACAAAATATTCATCCCAACAAGGCGGGGAGAATATATAAAAACCTGTGCATTGTGATCGGCTCAACTCCACCGAACTACCGGGCACAATGCAACAGAAACCAAACCAAAATATTCATCACAACAAGGCGGTGAGAATATATAAAAACCTGTGCATTGTGATCGGCTCAACTCCACCGAACTACCGGGCACAATGCAACAGAAACCAAACCAAAATATTCATCACAACAAGGCGGTGAGAATATATAAAAACCTGTGCATTGTGATCGGCTCAACTCCACCGAACTACCGGGCACAATGCAACAGAAACCAAACCAAAATATTCATCACAACAAGGCGGTGAGAATATATAAAAAAACTGTGTATTGTGATCGGCACAACACCACCGAACTACCGGGCACAATACAACAGAAGCCAAACAAAAACATCCAACGCTTAAAAAAAACGTGAATCCCACCAACAAACCAATCATCACCTGAAAAAAGTGTGAATCCGACAAGAAACAAAACATTCAACACCTGAAAAAAGTGTGAATCCAACAAACAACCCGTTCAACCCTTGAAAGGAGGGCGAACCTAACTCCAACAAAACACTCTACACTAGGTAGAAACGCAAACAAAATACAAACAAAATATTCTTTTGATGTGGTCTCTATTATGAATGAAGTTCCTGAAATTAATAAACCAAAAAGACCTAAGTAGACTTTTGAACTCTTAAACCCTAAAATTAATATATTGTCAAAATTACCTCACACTATATCAACATACAAACAACTATAGCCTAGCATACATCCATTTACATACTTCCTCACACAAAAGTTGAATCCAACAAATATATCAAATTAAGATCCAAAGTTAATGACCGAATAGTGGAATTTTAATATTTAATAATATCTTTAATATGATAGCGACCAGAGGTGTTCTTTGAAAGGTCCTGCAAAAGGTAAACGTTATCTGAAATTTTCTCTATAATTTTACATTTAATAAACTTAGGTGCAAGCTTCGCCGAAAAATAAGCTGGAGCATTAGACTGAACAAAACTTCTTCTCCAAACAATATCACCCACATCAAAAGAAATAGTCTTCCTTCCAACATTATAATAACGCGCATTACGTTTATACGCCTTCAACAAATGAGACTCAACTCTAGCAAAAATATCACTAAGAGATTCAAGAGAAAGGGCATAAGAGTCCCTTTCACCAAACTCAAGCTGGTCTAAATTAACAAAGAATTACCAAAATGGTGCAGAGAAGCATCAACAAATTAACTCTCCACCACACATAAGAAAATTAAGTGTAAAACCAATAACCAAATTTACACTTCCAATAAAAGCTAACTAAATGTGAGGTCAAAATTTAAAGCAAGAATAAACTAACAAAATCCAATCTTTAACAAAACGTGAAATACAAGTCCCTACCGTCCTACTGTACCTCTCCACAGGGTTACTCTGAGGTGTGTACAATGTGTTATAAAAAATTTAGTAATGTTGTAACCTCTCATGAAATCTACAAAATGTTTAGAAGTGAATTGAGCACCATTATCGCAAACTATTAATTTAGGACAACCAAATCTAAGAAATATCTCTTTTTCAAGGATTCTACAATTGGATACGGTGGTAGCTTTTACTAATGGAAAAACCCAGCAAAATTTTGTGAAAACAACTACAACTGAAAGAATATATTTATGTGAGGTGCTGTGCTTAAGGCTTTACATGTGTCACAAGATCTAATGTAATTTTGAACATCATTAAACATACCGTTCCAAACATAATGTTGTTTTAATTTCTTAGTGGTTTTATGAATCCCAAGATGACCAGAATTAATATCATCATGGTTAGACTTAATAGCATCAAGAATGTGTTCCTAGGAATAACAATTTTCCAATTTAATCTACTATCCAGATTTAATTTATTCTTACAAAATTTATACAATGTGTGGTCATCAACCCTGAAATTTTTATATCTAGAAGAGACTCAATAGGCTTCTGTTTGCGAATGTGCAGTTCATGCTCCTAACAGCTATCATAGTCCGGCCTATCAAAACGTCTAAGCAAGGCAGCCCTAAGCTCAACCCACGAAGAGATCTTCCTACGAATAGTCCTAAACCACTTGGCAGCAGTACCAGCAAGCAGATCAGCGAACGAACCAATCAACACGGCCTCATGAAAGTTCCTGAATAAAAAGTAATCCTCAACACGAGTGATAAATTCTCTAACACAGGTCTTACCGTCAAAGATTATCTTGCTCCTAGTTAAATCAGGCAGCTTCGTAGTATAGGCAGGCATATTCCTCCTAACGTGTTCATTCATGCTGTTGAACGAAGGCAGACTTGGTGCAAGAGCAGGAGTATCACGAACATATGTCAAGTCTAATGGGACGCTCATCTCCGCTGACTCATCCGCAGCTGTGTCAACATCCACATTGGCAGGCGACGTTGAAGGTGGAGCCTCCTTGTCCATATTACAAACCGACATTAACCACACAATTCCAAAACAGCCGTTCAAAGGTTAAGTTCTTTAAAATTAATTAAGTTTAAATTTATTCAAAGTAAATTGTAGTGAAAACCTAAGTTTAAATTATTTAAAGGTTAACTGTTATGAAAGGATAAGTTTAAATTTATTTAAAAGGTAAATGTTGTGAACAACCAGGTTCAAATTATTTAAAAGTTGAATATTGTAAAGAAAAGTCTAAATTGATTTGAAAGTGAAGTGAAAAAGCTAAGTTTTAATTTAAATATCTAAGTTCTGTATTAAAAAGGATTTAAGGATTGCAGTAACCACTAACAATTATTCTAGTAACTAAATAATAACAGCAAGGCTAAGCTAAGTTAAGTTAATCTTAATTTACAACAAGTTATATTATAATAATTCCAAAGCGGAGGTATCTATAAAATGTTTCTTGAGCAGACTTACAATTAACATTCAAAGCTATTAAATTGTAACACAAAATGTTTCAGTAACTATACCCTTAATTGAGAATACAATAGGCAGCAGTATAACTTAAATTATTGTTGTTTGTTAAAGCAAAAATAACATTGTAAAGTCACAATGTTGTAAAATAATATTGAAAAATTGTAAAAAATAACCTCACTTACATGATAATACAATTGAAATTACAAAGCAAGTAATACACAAGGTATGCAGTACAAAAGTAGGATGCAGTAAAGACAGTATCTAATCAGTTATCTAATTAACCTACAGACACTACTTCAGTCCCTGAGCGCTGGCGACAATTGTAATAATAAAAAAATAAAAAATTTAAAATTATGTTGTGGGGTGTGTTATAAAAAAAATATAACTAAAATTGGTAAATTGGTGGCATCAAATAGAAACAAAATAACAAAATAAAAGTCTCGGGCGCCAGATACCACCTTAAAAGAACACAGAACCCACCACAAACACAACAAATACCTCGGACATCTCAGCCAGCTTTGAACCTTTTTAAAACAAAGCGGGAGGACAGCTAATGAATACAAGGTGTTAGGTTCTATTGGCAGTTTATTTTCCCGTAGTGTCTGTAGAGTACAATGTGTCTTATGTCTCTAATTACAATAGGTAATTCTTATACACAAATTAGTACTGTCATTAATGCAATCCTTTCCAATAAGAAAAATAAGGTTAAATAAATTTTAAAGAGTCACATAAAGACTAAATAGACAAAACAGTAAACTCTAAGGGTAGACATAGCATTGACCTACTCTCTAATGAAAAATAACACCCCTTGGGGACCTGCAGTGTTCAATGCCACGTCGCCAAGAAAAATATAACAAAAACACATACCGATGACCTTGGATCAGTCCGAACGAAATGAAATCAAACCAACTCCGAAACTTCCCACTCCGGTTCCCACGTGGTGTAAGAGGCGGGTTAGTACTCCCCTGCTCCAGACGATGGCGTGCAGCTAAGCAGCTTTTTCTACCATTCTGAGCTCCACAGCAAACTAATTTCTTGGGGTTAAACTCCGGCGAGAGACAAAAATCGAATGCCACGCAAGGACATTCCAATAAGAAAGTAAAATAATTTAGGTATTGTAAAATCTTTAGATATTAACTAAAAAAGAAAAGAAAAGAACCCTGATTCATCTGCAAATAAGGAAAAATTATAGGTTAAAAGCCTATCTCACAGTACGAATCATAACTCTGACAAGAAATCATATTTCACTTACCAGGGTTCCAAAACGCTTCACAAATCAAACAGCGGCATTATAAGCATTATAAGCATTGCCTGTAACCAATTAAACAAAGAGTTAAAACCACAAATTCCGCCAAGCCAAGCGTGAAGCACGTGGCCGAACAAAACTCACCTTTTTTACGAAAATAAAAACTCAATCAATAATTTGATTCTTAACGAGGTTGGCCGAAAAATAAAAGTAAGAAATAAGCCCTCGTAAGACATAAATTACAACAAAAAGTCTACATTTTAAAAGAATCCAAACTGCTTCGTCCGGTCCGACGCCAAAAGTGAAAAAAGTGATACCAGTGCAATAACCTCTCGCTTCATAGAGCGGGGAAACAAAAATGTTGCCAGTACAAGAAAAACTAAATCGACTAAACAATCGCGGGCGAACAACATCGAATATCACTCCCGTCCGTCCCCCGACCATCGGCACTCGCAGAAACGACAAAAAATTCAATCTAACAAAACAAAAACGAGACAAAGGTTCAAATTACTGTAATGGCGCGAAATGCACCGTTACAATATTTTGCCTTTTTTTTATATAATATATGTGAATATTCCCACACTATGAATATATCCTGTGTCGCGGGGGACTTTACGAACATTCGTGAAACAGACACAAAGAACAACCAGACTCAGAACGACAATTTGTGGTGCACACAACGTGTCTCCAATTGGGGGGTTTGAACCCACAATACTCAGCGTATTAAGAAGCGGCGTGGGCGACCGCCTAAACCACTACACCATCCGTGTAATCAGACCAGCAGTCTGCAGTGCTATTCTCTAAGAAAACAAAAATTCTCTAAGAAATTCGAAGCTGTGACAGCGCTGTAGCGTCGAATTTCAAACGAACGCTGTGTGCTGTACGCAAGTATGTCGGATGTCTTAATAATAGCGGTTCCCGGATCTCTCCTATAACAGGCGCAGAGTGGCACATCGTGTGGTTTTAGTCGGTCCGATTCCGACACAACCCCGCCGTAAACCCCGGTGGGGTGACGGCCCGAGGGGGGTTTCCACGCGTAAAAAAAAGAAAAAAAGTGCTTTATGCAAGGCTGTTTCCTTAGAGAATAGCACTGCTGATCTGTTTCTTTGTGAAATGTGTGAAACAAAGCGCGATAACACGTTTGTGGTTCTCAACTCACGCTTGACCGTATCATTCCTTCGACTAAAAATAATGTTTAAGTTCTTTAATAGTTTACCTGTATTCTATACGGCTGCAGGTATTTCTTTCTATTCTATTTCTGTCAAAAAAGGCATGTCTGGGCCTGTACGATCTCCAAACTGCCAACAAAACAGCGTACTCACCTCAAACTCCACTCTCGAAGGCAGGCCAACACGCTTAAGACTCTTCGAGCTGCAGATGTCCATGGGCGGCAGTCACTCGCCATCAGTTAACCCGTCTGCTTCTTGAAATTACTTAAGTGAAGTTTTTTTTTGTATTTCAGCCTCGATCTCCTTCTCCATTGCCGGTGCCAATCAAAAAGAGAGGTCCTGGCCGCCCAAGAAAGGTAAAAACCATTAATATATAAATTACTAGCTTTTGCTCCACCCGCGTAGGTATAGGTCGCGATAAAAAGTAGCATATGTCTTTCCTTAAGAATCAAAGTATCTCCATACCAAAATCGGTTCATTCACCTAAATCGATTCAGCGGTTCTTGATTCCCCATACAAACTTCCCCCTGAAAGTATGATTTCTGGGATAAAAACTACTAATACTACTAAAAAACATCTCTTTTCATCCAGCCTCGCTAACAGTTTCCACAGGATAAAAAATAATAATTATAAAATATGGCATGGCATGTGTGGCATTGTTTGCTTTGTTTTTAGTTCTTGTACGTATTTGTACAAGATAATCTGTATAATATTAATCTTTTTCTTTCCAGATACGCCCTCCACCATCTGATTCTGATGAAGATCATAACATCACTCAAAAAAAACGGCTGCCAAAGCTGAAGGTGCCAGATACTCCCATGGAGGAAGATTCCTTAAATAATGCTACCAGCGTGGCTCAACTCTCCACACCCATGTTCATGAAAGTAAGTACTTTCAGTGCCCCACCAGATTAAATGGGTTGGCCCTCCTGTAACCGGTTTTCTCTGCTACCGTGATATCACTAATGGTTAATCACTACCATAAATTCGCTCTGTCAAGCCTCTATTTTACTGGTGCTTATAAAAGCCTCTCAACAAATGCTTTATGGGATATGAGTGGTAAAAATAACCCCCCCCCCCATCACCCCTCCTGGATCTTTAGCTACAAAAAGAAATAGTTCTCCTTTTGTAAACCGGTGTAAATAATTATTTTTTAATTTCAGTATTTCTACTCATGATTGTTCACATCTAAATTTGATGAATTAAGTTTGAAATTTTAATTATTAATAATATAGATTATAACAATTCATTATGATTTAAGCTAGTACACATGATGATGATTACTTTGAAGTAAGATTATATTGAAGTAGGTAATGTTCACAAAGATATTTGTTTTCAATTACAGATGTACAACCTAGAACGTTCCAAAGCGGCCCCGGCACTGACACCACAGAACTTACCTTTCCCAATCAAAACGGAACCAGCCAGCCCTGAACCACAGTCTTATTAACTCAAGTAGGATAATACAATAATATGTAATAATAATATATATGTTTGTGTCCTACTTTCGGCTCAGAAGAATTACCTTTGCATACCAGACCAAATTGTAACAAAGACTTACCGGTGGCCTACTTTGTTTAAGGACCAGATACTCTTTAATGTGATACGGGACTCTCATCTCTATGTTATCATGAAGAAATAGAGGGTAGTATTAGTGGATGCATCATTGAGATGATGGTCTATGGTAAATAAAGGTCTTAGATCTCTCCCAAAAGGACATTATCCAAAACAAAATTATATAGGTATTTTAAAAATGTTTGGCAATTTATATAAATGTCTCATTATCTATTTAATATGAAACAAAAATCGTTTAATGTCAAAATATGACTATTACAAGAATTTGGGGCCCAATTTAAACGTTGTAGTGGAAAACTGTTTAAAAGCCTTAAATCGGCACTTCATATAGCTTAGATAAATGTTTGTCATTTGATCAAAATAAGTGTAAATTTCTTAGATATCTTCGATATTGTTGTTGCTTCATTCAAGTATAATAAAAATGCACGTAAATGTATCTAGTAGTTAAAAGTTACATAGAATTCACTTCAATGTTACCTACCCATAATTGAAATATAACGTGTCAATGTCTTAATGCACTGCTATAAAAATATAGAAAATCTGTTTGTTAATAAACGTCTGTACAGCGCGTCAAGAATATTTTGGCGCGAAACAAAAATCGAAACACGACGACTATATTGAAATAATTAAAACATAGTGTGCAGTAACAAAACTTCTTTTTTAATAAAAACGGTCTAAGTCAAGTAAAATTAGTTATTTTATAAAATTGACTGTCCTAATGAACAAGAAATTGTCCGTATGCCTAAGTGAAGTCATTGAAATAAAAAGTTCATTTTACCATAAACCTTCATTGTATTAGGGTTTTACTTTTTCACATTAATCATTTTCCGTCTATTATTATCGATGATCCACGGGCCTGTATAACCGCACTATATAATATATTGTCTTACAACTTAACAATCTAACATTATTTATAAATTAAAATCGAAGGCGGATAAGTCTTTCTGAGAATGAGAGTCACTACACTTTAATGTATAAAATATATATATCTGTTATCTGTAATAAATATTACTTTAATTGTTAACTTCGATATCTAGTATTGAAATAAACTGTCCAGATTAAAGCAAATATAGTTAGTTTATTAAAAATATGTCTTTATTGTGTTGTATGTAGCGAATGAAATGTGATATAATTTTAGTTGTACCTACTATATATAAATGCATGTAATGATGTATGTAAAAAAAAACTATAATTGTTACATTATAATGTGAAAATTATTTATTCTTCACGATTTTAATATTTCGAACAACACTTGTGCTATGAACCTATAGAGTGGTCCCTTTGAAGACTGTTGTGAATGTTATGTCCCTAATTTTCTAATGGTTTGTTATAAACATAACAACAAAGACTTTTTAAAATATGAAAACGCAGTGGTGTTTTACACTTTCTCTGAAAATGAGATTATAGCTTGAAGTTTAGTAATAATTATATCAAAATCTAATCATCATTTTTACACAAATGTCTTATACTATCGATCAAACGAATGATCTCAGAAGCGCGCGGTAATACAGTTTAAAAATAGATATGGTAGCTAGTCTCTTGTCTATGGATAGCCATTTTATTTACAAGGATATAGGTGTTTCTTATCTACTAGACTACCAACAGATTACAATTTTTCAACGCGTATAATTACAGGGGAAAATTATAATAGAAATATTATATTATTTATAAGTTTATCGAAAAGCATTTCCTAGGTGTAAATTTTAGTTTTAATAACTTGAAAATGTGTATCAGCCGGAATAAGAGGTTGAAGTACTAGGTGGTTACAAAAGTCCAGAAACCATGTAGTGTTGTAAAGTTTAGTTTGTAAGAATTCTATGTTCAACATGAATGTGTCACGATGTCTGTACATTCCTCTAGTTAGGGATGGGAAATAAAAAAAAAACATTTTATATAATATTGTTTGATTTATGAACCTGTCGTACAAAATACTTAATCCTTTTATATTGCTCTAGAACATTCCCTGTTACAAAATGTCCGATATCTTCTGAACATGGCAACATTTTTACCATCACCATTAAGACTAGCGTCAAAAATGAGTTGTATAGGTTTAAATAATATTAATTTGAATGTAAAATGTCTTCTCCGGGCTCCGTTATACTCAATTCACTGAATTGGACCCGTAGGCCTTCTCGTTTAGGCGTGCAAGACAGGGGTCCGATGAAGTACTTGTCCCTTAGCGGCATTGAGAATAGCCTCAACAGGGTCCAGTTGACATCGTCCGAGGAATATTTGATACAAATTGCTGTACCTTTCTTGGTAATACGAATGTAGAATTTCTTAGGGTCGCCTGGAAAAATACCTGTAAACAAATAATATTTATTGTTGCGGTGTTGACATAAGGGTTCTTAAGATCTTTGTAGTAAAATTTCCAAAATATACAAACGCCTGGTTACTATTAATACGCATAATATATGTTTAGTTCATTTTCAAAACTATAAGATGTATTGGTGTTCACCCTAACTCGCCCAGTATGTAGGGTTGCCAGTAGGTCCTGATAAATGGGCAAATTAAAATTAGTAGCTTACAATACCGGGGAAACTGGATTGAACAATCTTGATACTGATATTTTTTTATAATTATGTAAGTATTATTTATCAATAGCGTGTAGTTTAACAGTTATCATTACAAAGGTACATTACACCTTCGATAAGATAAAGGCATAAATGACAAAAATCAGGATAGTACCTAGCCGCCTTGTGTTCAAGACGAAAGTTTGAGCTTATATTATGAATACACTCAGATTCATCACAACTATAGTGTGTTATATATTATTATTATATTTTTGTACGTATGTATATGTATCTTAATTTATATGTAAATGTATGTGTCCCTTGTTTCCTACCAACTTGTTTTTTTCTTTTTGTGTCGGCGTACTTAAATCTAGGACACTTAGTTATTCATCTCTTCACCCCCCTAAGGTTGAGGTAAAGACTAGGAGAAAATGCCTGCGGCATTAACACCGGCATTGAGCTAGTTAATTTGTGCAAAAAGTATAAAAATAAATGATTTATAGAGCTGTATTAGTATATGGCTGTTTTGTTTATGGCCTATGTCCAGCAGTGGACTGCGATAGGCTGATGATGATGATGATGTATAAAAATAAATGATTTATAGAGCTGTATTAGTGAATTCGACTATGTCAGTTATTCATAAACGACAACCACTCAGATTATCCGACTCGAGTGTAATTAAGGGCTAAAATACTGACATACTGTATACAGTGAAATTAGTCTCGAGAAATTTTTGCATATGTAGGGGTGTGTATATTACTCAGATCTTAGAGCGCGTTTCCACTATATCGTTCTGGCCTATACAAAAATGTTTCGATATCCTAACATTACTATTTAATTTTATACTTATCCCTAGCAACACTCTGATTTTTGTTTTCAATAAAAACAAGTTTTTATTTTAAAGAAAAAGGTTTTGACTTTATAAAAAAAAAGGTGCGATTCACACACGATAGAAGTGAAACTTCAAAGAGGAGAGACCGATATTTAAATTTTTTTTTCCTTTCATCTAGGTTTTTAAAACTCCGAGGGGTCTACGGGGGGGTCAAAATTTTTGTTATTTTTGGCCTAGGACGCACCGTTTCCGAGATATTTCAATCTAAAGCAAAAAATCGTCACTTGATAGTGGAAAGTGGAAACACGCACAAAACCAGAATAAACCAGTTTACGCTGTCCGTACCATACACTACTACAAACGCAAAAATTTCTCCAAGCTAATTTACCTGTACGCATTTCTTTTAATTTGTTACCGACAACTGCCTAGAAAGCGAGCTGTGACGATGTGAGCATTACATTCACTCGCCGAGATGACGTTTGGAAACACGTAACTACAAACCTGTTGCCCAGTCCGATAGTTCATCGGTTACCACACTAGCTATTAAGGGTTGTCCATCATTAAATTCTATGCCTGCCTTCACCCAGTGTTTCTCGTCCAAGTATATCATGAGGCCAGCTTGATCGTACAGCGTATGGAACTCTGCTTCTACGCAGACCTGCAAACGAATCAGTTTTTTAGTGTCGGTCTTAGATACCGGCTTTATATTGTAAAACTATCAAAACCTAGAGCAGGTTTACGGGCTGCAGACAAACTCTATGGTATGTCTATGGTTACAGTACAATTACATTTCTTATGAAATACAAAAACTTAAATGAAATCACATCGTTTTAAAATATAACCAGTCAGCGTCCGGTTGTTAAGTTACTACTGGCTTAAATGATCAGGAGAAACATCTCTTTTTGATTTCAGTGACTAGCAGTTAACACAGAATAACTTAGTTATTTATGGTATTAGGGTAAGTAAAGAGTATACAGGTTTTAACACATTGAACACAATTAGCACATCCATGTGGTGACGGATTAAGAATACGGAGTGTCACCACCTCTGTTCATCCCGTGGGTGCCGTAAGAGCCGACTATGGGACGAAGAACAAAGTGTGCGTTACCCCAGCAAAATAATGTCGAAAATGGTCATTTAAACTTTATAGATAATTAGTTGCTCCCCTTCTGTAATTGTTAAGCACATTTTTAAATTTGTTTCACTTAAACTTTTTTAGTTATTTCAAAAAAACATTTCCTGCTGGAGTAACGTTTGAAACGTTACCGCAGCCAGACATTTTCTTTTATAATTGTAATGTTGAAATAAATTTTAGCTAAATAATTAGTTATCTGGACTAGGTAAATGTTACAACTTATTTGGTATTTGTATTTTCTTCGGCTGCGAAGTTATTCGAAATCCTGCTGGAGTAACGTTTGTGGGTTTGCTGGATCTCTGAAACGGGTAAGCGGATTGTTACCATCTTTTGTACATAACTTCTTAAGGATTAGTTTTAATTTGTTCGACAATAAAATAACAAAAATAATGGACCGTTTAAAAATTATTTAGGTAAGTATGAAAACACTTAAATACGTCCTAACACTTTAAATAAGACCTCTTAAGACTTACTTGAAACGTTATTCTATTGCTTGTAACTACCTTCAAATGTATACGAATTTTCGTAGGAATACTGTAAGTGACTAAAAAGTTATGATGAAATGTAGCTCTCCACGTTCACGATCACAATGTGTGCGGCCTTTTTTGGCCACCGATAAACCTGTGTGTGGATATATAAACTGAATGTTATGCCAATAATTAGTTGTTTAGTTCAGTTGTCTACCTGTAAAATTTCAGCGTAGTACATATAATAATTTACGAGATAATTAAATAAAAGTCATTAGAAGGTGCAAGACCGTGGTAACCCGACCATGTTTGCGTGGTTACAAAAAAGCGATCACCCAGTACATTGTGCTGGCTTTTAAAATATGTAGGATATTATTTGCAAGTTTACTACGGATATGTACATAAGTGTTACAAAAAACTACATGCTTTTTAAATATTTTTTATTTAGGATTGTTTATTGCATAATTAGTAATCAGCCGGGAGATTAGGTATTGTTTTGAATGCTTTTGTTTTCTCGTAATGTTTAGGTGAATTGTTTATAGTTGTTCATAGAATTGGTACCTGCGTAGTATTTGTTAATTGCAGTTTAATTTTAGGGTAGGTATAGGTAATTTAAGAAATATGAAATGAAATGATAAGTTTTGAAGAGTGTAACGTATGCGTTGTAAATGGGTATTTTGTGAATAGATGGGGATTTTTTAAGTGATGAATCGACTTAGGCTAGCATATCGCGAACAAACTCTGTACTGCATTATTTCTGTAATAATGTTGGAGAAAATAAAATATTTGATCACAAAATCGCGGTGAGTTAAATTATAATAAAATAAATTATTTATGTAATTAGTAATAAGTGATATACCTACCTAAAAGTTATGATCGTTTTTAATTTGTTCACCCTGAACGAAATTTCAATATTAGCATTAGTAATTAATATCCTAAGACAAGAATTGACAATTACTTAAATTGAATCGAATTAGCATTAATGCCTATTATTAGTAATTACGTACACACATATTGAAGAACTCTCAAGAATACGATAAATATTTGCAAAAATAGAAAGCGGAAGCGCACACGTACTTTACAACACGTATATTATCTGCCTAAGGGTCAAGTTTAGTGCACTAGATGCAAATTGCAAACAATGAAGTATCCCTTCGCCCCTCCCCTCCCGCGTTCTAGCGAAGGATGTATTATCAGCGATTCTTGATTGACAAATATTATCTGACCAATAATTTTATCTATAAAAATGTATCACTTTCACTCGATAAATTAAATTACCGTTATTATATCAAAATATCATTCAACAACTGTTCGTTTTTAACAGAAATCAACAGTAACGGGCTCAACGCTTAACGGTAGGTACATAGGTATAGATAATTCTCGGTTCTAGGTATAGACCACAGAACAATATTACCTACTCTTACGAGGTATACGTCTGTTGGGCGATGCAATGTTGATGCATTCTAATTTACAACTTCTTCTAATTTATTCTTCTACTATTCGGTCTATTTTAACTTATTGTAGATAACTTGTTGCTTTAAATATTTTGATGCATTCAAGTCTAAGCTCTATACACCCCAAAATAAAATACAATTACTTTAGTGTTATTTCTTTACAAAAAAAAAACAAAGAAATGAAACGATTTCTTATTGGTTTAAATTTTCGTTTTATTGCAGTCAGGTGAATCGTTCATACATGTATCCACATATTTATAATTTTAGCGGACCAGTGCAGATTTTCTGTTGATTGTAGTTCCGGTAGTAAAAAAGACTAAATAAATTTTAAGTAAAGAAACTAGTGCTTAAGATCAATTAGGGAAAAAAACAAAATAAATAATAGGTAATAATAATGAATAAATATTGAATGTATTTAACACTGTACGCAACTGTACCGAAATCGTAAGGTGTATTACACTAAACATTTTAAAAGACAGCGCAATGTACTGGGTGATCGCTTTTTTGTAACCACCTACACATGGTCGGATTACCACGGACTTGCACCTTCTAATGACTTTTATTTAATTATCTCGTAAATTATTATATGTACGACGCTGAAATTCTACAGGTAGACAACTGAACTAAACAACTAATTATTGGCATAACATTCAGTTTATATATCCACACACAGGTTTATCGGTGGCCAAAAAAGGCCGCACACATTTTGATCGTGAACGTGGAGAGCTACATTTCATCATAACTTTTTAGTCACTTACAGTATTCCTACGAAAATTCGTATACATTTGAAGGTAGTTACAAGCAATAGAATAACGTTTCAAGTAAGTCTTTAGAGGTCTTATTTAAAGTGTTAGGACGTATTGAAGTGTTTTCATACTTACCTAAATAATTTTTAAACGGTTCATTATTTTTGTTATTTTATTGTCGAACAAATTAAAACTAATCCTTAAGAAGTTATGTACAAAAGATGGTAACAATCCGCTTACCCGTTTCAGAGATCCAGCAAACCCACAAACGTTACTCCAGCAGGATTTCGAATAACTTCGCAGCCGAAGAAAATACAAATACCAAATAAGTTGTAACATTTACCTAGTCCAGATAACTAATTATTTAGCTAAAATTTATTTCAATATTACAATTAAAAAAGAAAATGTCTGGCTGCGGTAACGTTTCAAACGTTACCCCAGCAGGAAATGTTTTTTTGAAATAACTAAAAAAGTTTAAGTGAAACAAATTTAAAAATGTGCTTAACAATTACAGAAGGGGAGCAACTAATTATCTATAACGTTTAAATGACCATTTTCGACATTATTTTGCTGGGGTAACGCACACAAGAACAAACTACGCAGGACAACAGCACTACAAAGAGAAGTAAAACTTGAAACAAACCCTATACCAACCTATCTTGGTATAGTAGGGCAAAACCATCTTTCTAAGGAGAAGCGTATGTCCAGCAATGGACTATTAAAGGCTGTTGATGAACACATTGAATGTTCCATTACTTTCTAATAGTTTCCAGCTATCCAGCCCCAAATAAAACGCAAACAATATGAAATCACATTTCTAAGACTTTTGCGTTACATACGCATAAGAGACATTATTTTGATATCAGTACTTGTTGTCTCGGTTATTAGGTCATCGGAAAATCTTTACATAGCATAAAATAAAGTCGCTTTTTTGTATTGTACGCTTAGATCTTTTAAAATAAGCAACGGATTTTAATGCGGTTTTCACCAATAGATAGAGTGATTCAAGAGGAAGGTTTATATGTATAATACATGCTTATTATAGTAGAGAAAATACGAGAATTTCAAAGATTTGTCTAAAAATCATATTTTTGTCAGCTTACGTTACAACGCTGACTAATTCTTACGAGATAGACCAAAATAATATACTACCGAATTGTATACCTCAAAAAGATCTACAAAAAAGTCAGAGATGGTATATGTCTACCTCCTAAGGATAACCCACAGTTACCATTTTTTACTTTAAAATATTACAAAAGTGGTTATTTACGAAGCTATTTTAAACAATACATTATTATTTCTTATCCTATTAAATACGTTAGCTACGTTGTGCATTTAATGTAGATTAAAATTGCTCTTTACAGCATATCATTAAAATGAATATTTTAGAAGATATTAGAGATTAAAAATACGGGGGCCCAACGACCGTCGAGCCGTACGTCTGTCCCCGGTGGCAGCGGTCGACAAGATTGGAGCGGGCCTATAAATATTGCATTTAAAGATGTCCTGTAGAATAGAGCTATCATAACAATAGTATAACTAATTACACACACTTACACCACTTTAGTAGTATCTACATTGGACCCGTGCGAAGACGGGGCGAATCGCTAGTTCTAAATATAAAAAAGATTATTCTATATGTCGAAAGATTGTGAATCGGAACATAGTGCTTACAATTATTTTTGTGTAGATTATAATCTATCGAAATAAACCCTATGTCACAATTTTTCGCGCGTTAATAATTGTCAAGTGTCTGAGGGCTGTCCCTGATTGGTCGGTCTATCTTGTCTGACATGAAATGATTTCACGATAAGTAGTTATCTTAATTTGATAAGCGAATCTCAACTTTTTGCGAAATAGGTACATGACTATTTTTGAAGAAAGTAAAATTGTGGCCCCATTAAATAAGCACACATCTTATATTGACTGCATGGATGGTGTAGAGGTTTATGCGGTCACCTCGCAGCTTTTAACTGCCCTGAGTGTTATGGGTTTGATTCCCAGATGGAGCAACACTTTGTGTAATCCACAAATTGTTGTTCCGAGTCTGGGTGTTCTTTGTGCTCGTTCGATAAATATTTGTAAAGTCCCCTGCGACATAGGAATATATTCCTAGTACGGCTGTTGTCTTTTAAAAATAAATTTGTCGATAAATCGTGTGACATCAGTGATAAATCGTAGATCATTTCGTGCGATAACTAGCGTTATGATGTGCAGGTGCTTATATTTAACACGTTGTATCGTCACTATCGGACACGCTATTGGCTAGATAATTTCCGTTTCCGATTGACTTGCAGTGACACTTGGTCATTTTATTTCGTAGCTATCATATTTTTTATATTGCTAGATAGCTCTTTTAATAATATTAAAGGGTTCTAAAGTCTATTTTTCGATTTAATTTCCGAGACATTAAATTTTGAAGTGTTGAAAAAGTCGTAAAGTCTTGTTATCTTTAAAAAAAAACTTTAAGCTCTCTTAAAGCTTTTTTTTAAAGATAACTCCCTCACTAGGGATATATGTATACTGTGTCACGGGGGACTTTACAAACATACATGAAACGGACACAAACCTAAACTGAAAAAAATATGATGGTAGTTTACACGTATAATCAATTTAGGATTAATAAAATATGGAGCTATCCTTCGCACACAATTATTTATTCTGGGTGGGAATCAAACCCACGACCTCCGGCTTAGCTTTGTAGTATTTTATAAGTTGGGTGACTATATTTACTCCTAAAACCGCAGAGCTAACCTTTATAGTTTTCCTTCTACATTAATTATACGTGTATACTGTAGTGTATACACATCTAGGATAACAAAAGAAGTAACTAAAAACTGTTTATCAATAGATATATTATATATGTGAATAATTATTTCGTGTGGATTAAGAATACAGAGTGTCACCACCCCTATACATCCCGTGGGTATCGTAGGAGCCGACTAAGGGAAAAAACTACGCAGGACAACAACACTGCAAAGAGAAGGGGAAAACTTGATACAAACCCTTTACCAACCCGTCTGGCCAGCGTTGTATAGTAGGCCAAAACCTCATTTCTAAGGAGAGGCTTATGTCCAGCAGTGGATCATTAAAGGCTGTTGATGTGTATAACTATTTATCTTTCGTTTCGAGTGATGTGCTCTGCTAGCCGCGCGGTGGTAAAGAAAATTAAAAGAGATTCGTAAATCGAGTATCGACCGGTGCGGAGTGCAGACAGAGTGCGTACGCGGCGAGCCGATATTCATAAGTAATATAATAGTATAATACTTTTAACATTACAAGTGTACATTACATATACTACCATCATTTTTTTTCCAAAATTTTCAAGCCATCTGGTTTACCTAACCAGATGGCTTGAAAATTTTGGAAAAAAGGGAGGATTTTTCGACTTTAACAACATTTTAAAGTTTAATGTTTCGCAAATTGAATCGAAAAATAGACGTCACAACACTTCAATGTTTTTGAAAGAGCTCTCTATCAATAACCCACACTAGGCATCGAATAACTGAAAAAAAAACAATTTACGTGTACCACTTTGTCAGTAAGTTGTGTGACAGTAAATTATATTACTAACAGTCTCTGAAGTAAACCACAGCGGTCCACCACAGGCGGTTGTGTAGGCACAATACTTAAAGTCGCCAAAAGTACAATTAGGGCCGGGCCCTTTACACATCTATTCCACATGCCCTATTACACATCTATTCCATCTTCACGGTGACCGCGTTCGAAATCTTCACCAATCGCAATGCAACACAACGCACTGGCCGTCGAGAGCGAGTCGTTGTGACATAAACTTACACAAGGCCTTCGGATGCCTGACTGGCGTGCTCGCGGGATGGCAATATATATTAGTGAGGACTTGCTTGGCATGGAACTTGGTAAAAGAATTACACTGTTCATGCGAGTCTTTAATAACCGTTTACCTTATGCTTATTTGCCACCGACGCACCAAAAAACATTACTACCTAGATCGATATTAAGTCATACATGATACATTTAAGTTTGACTCAAAAAAATAATAAAAAAAAGTAGGTGATTATTTAAAATTAAACAATAGTTTCTGGTATTCATTTGAAAAAATAAAAAAATGTATTATGATCTTTACCTTAAAAACAAAATCGTCTTTGAGTTCAATACCATAGACATGGCCCGAGTTAAAGTAAAAATCGTAATAAGTTCCTTGCCAGAAGTCACTTTTATCATTTGTAACCATTGTAAGTTTATTATCTTCTACAGACCATTCCGTTGGTTCATTGAGCCATTTAAATTGGCTAAAATTTATTGTTGAAAAGCTGCTGGCCTCCATTCTAACAGATTACCTATTCACGACTACACTTATTACTTCCACACTGATTGTTTCTCTACAGTACTTTGCTCTGAAAATAACTCAATCACTTCATATATACCTCAGCGGTGCCCCCTGCACCCTGCACAACTATACACAGATTAGTTTTATCTTATCAAAAAGTATAGCTAAAGGGGCGTATCCAACGAAAATATTATCAACTTTAGTGATTCCAACTGTTTGCAAAATTACAACTTCAAAAAGTTGCCACTTTTCAATTACATAAGTTATTCGTCCACGTGTCCGCCATTTATTTCGGATAAATGCTGTTAAAACAAAAACAACGCATCTATCGATCTACTGAGCGAATGAATTTCGGCAAGAAACGCGTTCTTTTGATTTCACCACTAATAATGGAAACAATGTTTCCAATGCATGTTTGCAACTTTTGTTGCCAACATGAGGTTATAGAAACATTTGTTGCATATACGTGTTGCCAATATAAATATCAGTACCTTTTTTTGGTGTAGACCCATGCTAATGATGAATGATGTAATTTTTCTAATTTTTGTTGTAAACGTTAGTAATAGTAGAGGGATTAAATTTAAATGTTCATACTTTGGAGAGGGTTGTGGAGAGTGCGTAAAGAAAATTAAATTTAACCTTATTGTAGTAGTATAATTACATGGTATTTATGTCAGTTGTAGGATTAGTTAGGACTAGTAGGTTGTAGGACTAGTAGGATTATCAAGATAACTTGGTATGGTTGTGTGAATTAAATATATACTTCATAGAACAAATTGCGTTCCTGTATTAATATCCTACTAAGACATTTATTTTTATTAATCAAGGATAAACTAGTAACATAATAAATGGCATGAATAAGGGGAAATAGCATAAAATGTACAAAAAATCGCAGGAAAACACATATACACCAGTAGTTTCAGCAAACAGTTGCAAGTATAACTCTGTGACACTGACCGACAGTGACAGTTCTCAATCAACTTGTACTTGATAAAGGCAAAGGAAACAAAAATATTTATGATCTGTTTCATTGCTTGAATATTTTGTTTGAAGTTATTAACATTCTTATTTATAACTCTTATCTACTTGAATGCATTTCATTTTGTTACTTGAATCGTTGAGATCAAATCATCTATTATTTTAAATAAAAATAAAGCAATCGAATAAGATCAAAATTTCATTTGTTTAATTCAATTTTTAATGTTAACAAATGTCTGCTAAAATTGTATTCATTTTATAAGTCTTATTTTTTGTTTTATATTATTTTAATTTCTTCTTGAAAAGATGAGGTTGTGGAAGCCAAAACACAAGATTTGTAGTTGTAATGTAGGAGAAAAAAGGTTCTAAGATTGGCAACCCTGCTGGGCAACGATGTACAGCTCGGTTTTCATTCAAAATGACTTCATTTCCGGGAGCGGCTGCGGTGTGTGATGGCTCCGCGCTGCTTGTGAAGAAGTCGTGTCTTATGTTTGTGTTAAGATAGTAAAAGTTATTGCTTTAAATTGAAGGATATAGTTTAATTAACCAGTTACATCAAGATGGGCAAACCTGGTAAGTGATTTATCTACTTAATTGACGATAGTTTTTGATATGCGAAAGCGTGGTTGCCGCATGGAGCGTTTTGTAATTTATGTGATAAATTACTATACAATTGCTATTTTCATGCAGTAATAAATGAAATACTATAGGTTTAAAACTATTATTGTTACCTTTTGATCAAATTCAGTGAATTAATTGGTTTTTTTTCCATTCATTTCGTCAGTACCTTTTAGGTTATGTTTAGTAGCATTATCATTGCTTTACAGGAAGAGAATTAGATTGCAACGTGCTATTTTCATTAATGTGTCTACATAGAAAGTAATAGAGTTCGAAGAATGTATACTATTTAAATAATAACCACGCTGAGGTGTATTATGTTATTGCTTAGTGCAGCCACAGCACACCCGGCACAAAATGGCCTGTAGGAAGTTTTCTTCCTTTAGTTTCTATTGTGTTCAAGCATTCCCAGACTACGAAGATATATCTAGTAGCACGCTGTTAGTTTTTTTAATTATTAAAAGAACACGTGTTGCACGTGTTATTAAATAAATGTGCTCTATTTAAAAGACGGACTAAACATTCTCTGAAAACTTACATGATAATTTCCTTCGTTAATAGTATAGTAACAAAATCAGTTTGTTATAAATAACTTGTAAGCAATGTTGGTAATATTGTGCAAAGCTTTTACAAAAATGATAATGGCGCCTAACCTCTATCTCAAACGGGAATTCAAATAAAGCTGTTGTATTAAAATGACCAGTACAATGGTAGTTTACTGCTCTGATAATAATAACAACCACAAGGGATATTTTTTTTAGATAAAATAGTTACTAAATTATTTATTATTCTATATATGTGTTATAAAACATTCTGGAATTTAAAAAGTGATAAAAGCTTGCTACATTATCGCTGTATGTATGAAACTACACAGAACAGCAACCATTTTTAATGTTCTACAAAATACATAACAAAATTTGTAAATAAATAAAGTCAACAATTCATATTGACAATGGAATAAAATAATAATCACCATGTGGCTTTACATTCTTAATTTTTTAGCTGTTGTTACATTTGTTTTTATTTATTTATTTTAATACTTTATGCACTAGTATAAGTTGTACAATGGCGGACTTAATGCATTTTCTCCCAGTCTATGTTAGGGTTGTGCTGAAATGTGTGAATAGGTGCACTAGACATTGATATGTAAAGTAAGAGAGAATTATTGAGAAGTTAAACAGAAACAATGAGATAAATATACATACATATGTACCAGATACAAACACATACATAAACACTTAGTTACATAGTAAAGTTTCTGTGATTTGATATTAACTGACCCGTGCAATTTTGTCTGCATCTCTCAAAAGGAATAATAATATCTCTGTGCGGGTGTCTGCAGAGAAATTGTTGAGACCCACACGGGTTACGTTTCTCGATTCAAAACGGTGGTGCCTTAGATTATAGCATTCAATCAAACAACACACACAAATACTTCAGCTTTATAATGTTCCTATAGTTATTAAGTTTTATTATGATGATTGTGGTCCCTCTAATCTAGACCTATTCATGAAGACTATGTCCACATACCCACTTCTGATATTCTTCAATTTTCGATACAAATACACTGTAAAGTATATGATATTAATATAAAGTTTTATCTTGCAGAGTTCAATGGTGGCCGAGGAGGAGGTGGTAGAGGCGGTTTTGGTGGCCGTGGCGGCGGTAGGGGTGGCTTCGGAGGACGAGGCGGCGGTCGTGGAGGTGGTGGTAGTTTTGAGAAAAGAGGAGGCGGCGGCGTTAGAGGATTCGGTGGCCGTGGTGGTGGTGGTGAGTATCTCTAGGATAAAATAACATTATTCATGGGTGATATAAAATACTAGTTTTTTTTTATAAATGAATAATCTTTTCAAACGTTAAATTTTGACACACACAAGTTATTATGCCTAAGATCTATATGTAACTGTTCCTTTTCTTTAGATTATGACTTGTACTTAATATCTAAAGGTAAAATGTTATTTAATAATTGTCTAACAGTTTAATAATAATATATAATGCAATGTGAAGTGAATGAAAGAAAGGAAAAATGCTATAATATTCAGCTACATCATACCATAGACTTGTGCAAGGCCAATTCTTGTAATAAAGTTCGGTCACAATTAAGTTCTGTTATTAAACATTCAACGTTGACTGTAATGCGATTATATCGTATTCTATCTGTAGAGTGATACTATTAATTAAACTGTAAGCCTGAAACATATCAATATGATGATTGTGGTCCCTCTAATCTAGACCTATTCATGAAGACTATGTCCACATACCCACTTCTGATGCCGAACGCACTTCATTAGTGTGAAGATAGTCAATGTTTGTGTTTATAGCATCATTGTTTGGTTCAGGTCGTGGTCGCGGCGGAGGTGGCCGAGGAAGGGGTGGTGCTGGAGGCTTTAAGGGTGGGAAACAAGTTATTATTGAGCCACACAGGTTTGTATACTCTATTACATTTTTATAACTAGCTATTTTGAACTTAGCCTATTTTATTACATACATTGGTAAATTCACCATTGAGCACACTTTTTATTATTTTTGTTTCTGAGTCACAAAAGACAGGATAACTGCCACTTTTAATTTGCTTTGAATCTACTGAACTATTTTTGTTGAAATTTGGCACATGTTTCTCATGTGAGATTTGGTGTTTCACATGTGCAGTTTGGTACATGTATCAGACACATGTACAATTAAAAATAGTATTTTATTTATGATGATTGGTTTTAAGAAGACAAATTAAAAAAATTGAAAAATGTGGGCAAGTAATATCAAATGTATTTATTTATGATTTTGAAAAATTGTATGTGAAGTGGATATGTCTATAGTTGCAGTCTTAATTCTATTAAATTTTAGCTTGATGTTACCAAATAAAGTGAAATTTTAATAACCTCTAAAGAAGTACTATCCAAATTCTACCAAGTAAATTGAGATTTTTTTTTACCAACTAAAATGATGTTATTACATATAACTTTCGTTCTTCTGAAAGCACAAGCTTGAAGCCAACTTATATTACTGATTTATTTACATAATAAACAATTTAAGACCACTTTTGTACACTAGAGTTTAATATATATTTTTCGTTGTTTAGACACCCTGGGGTTTTCATTGCGAGAGGAAAGGAAGACGCACTAGTAACTAAGAACTTGGTACCCGGATCAGAAGTGTATGGTGAAAAGAGGATATCAGTTGAGGTTTGTAACACTTGAATAATATTTTAAAAAGTAAATTAAAAACCGCAATCACTAACACTTGGACAATAGTTCTACACTATGTGCTTTTCAAAAAATGTTGCCTTGCACAACCAACTTTAAGTTGTTGTTTCCGGTATTTATAAAAAGGTTTCATCAACTTTAAAGCCAGCAACACATTTGAGATCAATCAATTCCAAGTACAATTGTGAAAAAGGAAAATGTGTAAACATTCCTAAAAATTATCCTCATGAATTCTTACTTTTTTTAACAGACTGACGGAGAAAAAGTTGAATACAGAGTATGGAATCCCTTCAGATCAAAATTGGCCGCAGCCATCATGGGTGGAGTGGATGTCATACACATGCCTCCGGGATCAAGGGTGTTATATCTTGGAGCAGCTAGTGGAACCACAGTCAGTCATGTGTCTGATGTTGTTGGACCGGTAAGACTTGAATTTGAATAAATATGTGTATAAGAAATAACATAATCATGTAATAGTTTTTACATACCTTAGAATTGCAAATAATGCCACCAAAGTGCATACAAGGTTTAGGTTATTTCTTCCAAAGTAAATATATTTATTATGATGATTGTGGTCCCTCTAATCTAGACCTATTCATGAAGACTATGTCCACATACCCACTTCTGATATATCATTAATTTGATTGCATCACCTACCAGTTTTCAACAGATTTAATTTTACATATATTGTGTCTTGTCAACAGGAGGGGCTGGTGTATGCAGTAGAATTCTCTCACAGGTCTGGAAGAGATTTAATCAACGTTGCCAAGAAGAGAACAAATATTATACCTATCATTGAAGATGCAAGACATCCTTTAAAATACAGGTAATTTTTTTTTATGGTATAAGGGGGCAAATGAGCACTCGGGTCACCTGATGGTTAGCAACTACCGTCGCTCATGGACACCTGCAACTCAAAAGCCACAAGTGCATTGCTGCTCTTGGAGTCCCTCGAGTCAGCAGGAGGGTTTTTGCGCTTTTATTTATTTTTATTTTATACAGCCATCATCAAACACTTGCTTTGTGTCTAGATGTATCTAGAACATTTTGAACACAAATTAAAAGTGGTACGTTCTCCCCGATAACGCAATAATTATTTATTTTCATAAATACTTGTCTTCAATTTCATTCTACTCTATACGGTAACTCGTGTTGTGACTACTTTAGGAACTTTATGATGAAAAACAGATGACTAAATCTTTCATGTTGAAAAACATTTGAACTCTCTCTCTGATTATATCCATCTGCTAACATCTCGTTCTCACACAAAGATCCCCACTGATACATGTATTTTTTACAGAATGCTGGTTGGTATGGTGGATTGTATATTTGCTGACGTTGCACAGCCCGATCAAGCCAGGATAGTCAGTCTAAACGCACAACACTTCCTAAAGAACGGAGGACACTTTGTTATATCTATTAAGGTGAGTAACACAAAATTTTTAGAAAGAATAAAAGGAACAGTTCTTTAATGTCTTGTATAAAATTTACTTATAAAAACCAGCTGTATTCTATCAAGCCTGACACAAAAATAGATAAAAATAATGTTTGAAGCAGTTTGAAAAGAATGTAGTTTTAAATTTCTAATGTTAGTTGCCGAATCTTAATATATAGTAATACCTATGATGAAACAAACAAAGCTAAATTTTTCATGTTGATAAAATTGAACTCTCTCACTGAGGTTTCCCACTCGCCAACTAATATTACCACAAACAAGCACCGATATAAAACTTAACTCTTCTCCACAGGCATCTTGTATCGATTCCACGGCGCAACCAGAAGCGGTGTTCGCTGCAGAAGTCAAAAAGCTACAGGCTGACAAATTAAAACCACAAGAACAGTTAACTTTAGAACCTTACGAAAGAGACCATGCTGTGGTGGTCGGAGTCTTCAGACCACCACCGAAAAAAGCGTAGCCAAGTATTTTAGCGTCTAAAAAAGTGACTATTTTAATTGTAATGAGGTTAAAATTACTTGTTTTATAAGTAAAACATTAAATTGCATCTTGGTGAAATAGAATTATATCCATTTGTAAGAAATGCCATTATGACTTTTTTATTGTGAACACAATTGTAGGTTTAGAATACGTGCAATTATTATGTGTATTTTATAATGGAGACGCCAAACTACCAGTTGGGTATAATGTCAGCAGTAAATGTGTTTTGATCTTGCCTGATATTTAATACACTACCAATTGTGATACTAATTATCCAAAAAATGTGTACAAAACACATGCAAGCAATGGTCGTCATAGTGACACAAAACATGTTTAAAACGAGGTCCAAAGTTCAATGTTGACTTGACTTTTTGACAAAATTCTCAGTGGCGGATTAAGCACCTATCAAGAGCACTCTATAGGCAAGCATGAGTACAAATAATGACCAAAATGGCTGCCAGCAATCTGTACCTCAACAGCGCCACCAACTGACCCACGAATCAGGTGACTAGACAAACAAGATGACTTGTAGACATTTTGTGTGAGGTGTTTGCTTGCAGTAAATGGTATAAATACCAAAACTGTTGCGGGATCGATATGCAGCAGCAAATATGTACTTCAATGACTGTAATACAATAGCCACCTCTACCGAATGTACTGCAGGCGACAGGAGCGCAGCAGCCACCGCCTGTTCCTGCGCCATTACCATCATTATTAGCAGCAGGTCACTGGTCTCCGGTACATCGTCATTCACTTCATTGCAAAACCAAATTATGAATAATGGATTTGGCTCGCAACATTGTGTTACCTAGTTTGCCTTATGGATTATCCGCCACTGTATATTCTATAATAAAACATTCTCGCTGTTTTGTGAATACTTATGCACTAGTACGAATCGAATTTATATGTAACTTTTTATTTTATTTAAAGACTGGCATATTAATTATATATTTAGCAAGCAATAGCCATACACCAATTTTATGCAAACCATTACAGCCTCATTCCACAGTATAGCTATTTTTGTAATAAGTCAAAATATTTAGTTGTAAGTTGTATCGCATACGAGATGTATGTTTATTAGGATAAGTGTTGAATGAAATATATGGTGCGACTGACTACCGTTTTGTTGTTTCATTTAGTCTTACGAACTCCTGGTGGGATCGATGATTTTATGATAATCAGGTCACTAATGCTTGAACTAACAAAGAAAATAAAGCAGACTCAGAGGTGTCACTGATCCTAGTATGGACATCATCATGGATTTTAATTTTGATAACAAAAAATTTGTCGCTAAATTGTCCAAATTTGTCAGTCACTGGTTCTAAAGTTATGTTATTTATAGGGGGGGCTCTGCTGGAGGACGCTTATAACTTTGGGACTTAATTTAAGAGAAAACAGATCTTCACTAGGTGGCCTACTTTTTGAGATGTAAACGAAGCCAAGCTGGGAAGATAATCCCCAGCTGGGTCCCTATAAACGCTTATAACTTTTGAACCAGTGACCGACAAATTTTGATATTTGGCGATAAATTAGCGAATAAATTTTTGTGTTATCACAATTGAAAGCCATGATGGTGGCCAAGCCAGTGTCGAACAATATAAATTAGCAGTAGGTGGTAAGAATCCGACACTCGCAACCCACCCTTATGCTTGTCCAAGAAATTGATTTGGAACTACGAACGGAAGAGCTTTCGCCTTGAATATTCGGGTAGCACTGAAGTTTTTGCGCGCGTATACTCTTATTTATTGCAACTTTCGGGAGACAATTCCTATGTACGAAAATTAATGGACAGCGGGGATTTTTTTCCGCTAAAAATGAATGATTTTTAAGCTTAATAATATGGCTTTTTGGTCCGAATTAGTAAAGAATTTTAATGAAGAATGTTTTATCTATACTTTTTTCGCCGATAAAAAAAGCTTTTTAAATAGAAGAACGAAATAGCAGAGATAGTCATAATAGCAAAGGTCGATTTCGATCATTTTGATCAATGTTGAGATATTTTTCTCGAAAATAAAGAATTATTTGTAAAAATGTAGACTCGTCTATTAAGCAACCGATTTTTTTATTTATTTATTACAACTATGGAGGATTTACAGCTATGATGATCACAATAAAAACAGTCAAGAAAACAGGTAGCCAATAACAAATCCTCACTTATATAAATCAGAGATAAGTTACAGTGCATAAGACAATACAGAATAGGATCAAGAGGTATTATATAAGTTACAGATTATTTAATTATACGATTATACAAGTTATTTAATTTTAGTGTCATTGAATGGATTGATTTCTTCATTTTTTTAAATTTTAAGTGCTTATTCGCGCGTTCTTAGGGACGTGCCTCTTAAACGGTGACTAGTCATTTCGCGTTAAGAAAATAGTGACAGATGGGGTAGTAGTGCATTCAGGGTGGCATAAAAATAAATGATTTATATTTGTACAATAACTTACATTTCTATAGATTTAAGTTTATCTACCCGACTGTAACATTTCTTTTGAAATAATAAAATTATAACATATGCTGAACATCTGTGGATGTAAACAAAAGACAACAAAGCTTTATAGTACTTTGAATGACTTATATAATTACTTAACCTTAAAATCTTTTTTTCACAGGCAATTTTAATGTGTTAGCTTCCCTTTGATCCTTACTAATTGTATAAACAGTATCGCACACGCTACAAGCAGCTGTTTCTATGAATGTCCTTCATGATTTTCTTCTACGCTGAGATGAGTCACTAACGTCGGTTGAGACTATAGATGAGACATCCTACAGCGACGCAGCTGAAGTCAATTAATGTGAACTTGATTTTATAATTCTATAGAACCTGATTGGTCAGGGGGCGGGGCTTAATAGTAAACAACGACGCATCACTATTTTCTTAACGCGAATTGGCTATAGTGTGCTGTGCAACCTGCAGCAGGTATTAAGCGCCACAGTTGCAAGGCACTCCATAACCTAAGTTTCATCGTAACCTAGGTGGGCTTTCAGGCTTTTGGAAATTTAAGACGGTCTGTGTTCTAGGCGACATAGCGTCTTTCGTGATACGGCACTTCTCGACGTCTCTTTAGCGTTCAACACTTCCCTTCAAATCGACGCGTCGGAATCTTTTGGACCATAGAAATAACCAAAGATATCTTAAGTTTCGTTTTGCACTAATACTAATGAACCAGTCGTCTTATTTACTATGAACTTTGAACGCTTATTGTGTAAAAGTAAATTACAAATAAAACCCATCAACACAAATTATATCAGCCATAAATGAAACACACTGTTATAAAATAAACTATTTATTTATTTATCAATCTCCCTCCGACTCATCTTCTCCCGGCACCTCTTGTTCGCTGTCGAACTTGTCATCTCCCCAGGACGCTTCGCTTTCGGACGCATACGCCTCCGCCTCCATCTCCTCGTCTGATGACGTGTCTGGAAACATATTCGCTAATGTTATTGACAAATAAAAGTGTAGATGACTGTCAAATCAGTATCTTTTTAATAAACGTCAAAACGAGAACCGTGGTAAATTTTTGTATGAAGACTATGGAGTGACGTCATAACTAGCTATTGTCAAATATAAAAAAAAAGAAAAAAAAATGTATATATAAGTTACGTTGGTTTGTGTACACTTCAGAAACTCAAAAAGTTCCTATACCGATGGCTCAAATTTTGATACAGTATACAATATACAACCCATTTGAAAGACTGTTTTTATCTATTTTTGTTTCAATTTCTTTTCTCACCTAACACTGCCCTCATAAACCACAATGCGCTACAGTGAAGCGTAATAGAGAACAGGTGGTTATTCATATTTAATGTTGATTTCATCATCATCATCATCAACAGCCTTTACTAGTCCACTGCTGGACATAGGCCTCTCCTTAGAAAGGAGCTTTTGGCCTACTATACCACGCTGGCCAGACGGGTTGGTATAGGGTTTGTGTCAAGTTTTCCTTCTCTCTGCAGTGCTGTTGTCCTGCGTAGTTTGCTCCCTTAGTCGCTTTTTACGGCACCCACGGGCTGAATAGGGGTGGTGACACTCTGTATTCTTAATCCCTCACCACATGTTGATTTAAAGATATCAAATTGAGGACTATTTATTTTAACTGCTTTAAGATCTTACATTTAATAAATAATTTTTGTTAAACCCAGAAATCTTGGGTAGATTTATGATCTTTATTTCTCAAAAACTACAGCTAGGTAAATACATGATTTTGAGTATCTCTTAAGGTTTAACCTATATAAGCCTCATTAGGTGTCCACTTACCTTTGTAGGCCAGGACTGGATCCTGTTCTGCCTGGAGGGTGTCTGTGCTGCGCTGTGATATCGTTAGGTGCAACCGACCTTTTAGATTCAGTAACTGACACAAGTGGGAACGTCTGAAAACAATTACTTTTATTACCATCACACATCTAATTGTCCAGATGATCAGTACTTGTGGTGATTCAGGGTTAGTTGACAGGCCTGGTTTTTAATGACCTGTTAAGACAGAGGGTGTGAGTTCTATTCTCACCCAGAACAAATAATTTTGTGGTGACTATGATAATTTGTTTTCAGTTTGGCTTTAATTTATCTACATGAATGTATTTAGAAATATGTATGTTTATCAGCAGTTTGGTTATTAGTGAATATATGTATTCATCCAGGCACTTATGTGCATTGGGTTAAGTATTTTACAATTTGTAGTGCATAATAGTACATATTTAGTATAAATAAATAGTGTTTCGTGTTCAGATCAATAAAGTGCAATGTAAAGTCACACAGCATCATCATCATCATCATCGTCTCACAGTTTTAATCACTTTTATACAAACTTTTATAGAGACAACTCCCGCATTAGGAATCCTGTGTCGCGGGGGACTTTACAAACACACATGAAACGGACACAAAGAACACTTAGACTCACAACAACAATTTGTGGATCACACAAAGTATCGTTCCATGTAGGGATCGGACCCACAACACTCAGCGTAGTAGTAAACGGCGAGGTGACCGCTTAAACCACTACGCCATTCTGTAGTCCACGTGGAAATTGCATCTCTTTCCATCACATAACTCTTATCTCTTCTCAATACATTTATCGTTGCATTTATTTACATTTCCATCTTCTGAAAATCTATAAACCATGAGTTTCGGATACTCGGATTTAAACAGTAGAAGATAATTTTGTGTGAATATTTGAGTCCAACCGGATTTATCTCGATTGTAACTTCATACTTAGTAAACGTACTAGTTCATATAAGTAACAAAGTAGATGGCAAGTGGCAGATTTAGACGTTTTTTCTTAGTGTGAGAGCAGTTTTTAATTAGTGCATTGGGCGTAAATGGTTACATGCGTCTTATTAAATTCGTCTTAGAAATAAAATAGAAAAATATAAATATGTGCGTATTATGTAAATGCCACTATTCATTTTAGTTTTAGATGAATTCGTCTTTTCATCTTCAATAAGGTGTAAATAAGTATGCATAGGCGCCTTATTTTGTTGTGATAAAATTGCAATGTAGCAAGGCAGAAAAATTTAAAAATATAGGCAGATCCGTTTTTTTTCTGATGCCGGCAATATATATAACTCAAATTCGGCAAAAAAAAAAAACAACTATCCTGATCATTAACCAGAGGTCGTAGGTTTGATTCCCACCAATACAAATAGTTGTGTGATGAGTAGTCATTTGTAGTTGTATTTAGTGTAATTTATATTTAATATGTATGTATTTTAGTCCGACGGGCCTGTTGGGGGCGGCGGGCCTGTTGGACGGGCCTAGTGGTTAGTGACACTGACTGCTAAGCCGGAGGTCGTGGGTTCGATTCCCACCCAGGACAAATATTGTGTGATGAGCACGGTCATTTGTTCTGTGTCTGGGTGTAATTTATCTATATTATGTATGTATTTAGAAATATATAAGTATGTTTATCAGCAGTCTGATTACCATAGTACAGGCTCTGCCTAGTTTTGGATCAGACGGCCATGTGTGAGATGTGTGAAAATATTATTATTATTTTGAAATTTATAATTATCTTTATTAGCGGTCTGGTTACTATAGCACAGGCTCTGCGTAGTTTTGTGTGAAAAACGAAAATTAGATGTTCTCTCTGACCTGTGTGTGAACATGGCGAGCAGGTGAGTGAGGTGGTCGGAGGCGCGGGTGCCCATGGTGGCCAGCAGCAGGGCCGAGTGGTTCCGCACCACGGCCGACAGCCACGTGGACACCGCTGAACATCTGCAATAGCATTTCAAGTAAATATCTTGAGGTCTAGTTTTAGGGTTAGGGTCCGGTAACTTCACTAATTTGGTGAATTGTTCGACATCAGTTTTCTCTGAGACTGTGGTAGCACCCAGGTCGAGTCGATCCAAATAACCATGGCTTTTTCATGGCAACTGTTCTACATACACGTCATATGGTAGCTAAAGTCCATTTGCGTTAAGTAAATAGAGACGCATCGGTAAAGTTTTTGTTCGTAACGATAATTTCTTGGAACCAAGTCAAGAGGCGGGGATTTTTTCGATGCGTCACTATTTTCTTAACGCGAATAGACTATAGTCTGTTTTTAAATTGGGGTTCAGTACCATAACATGTAGGCAAATTGAACTTAATTGTTTAATAACAAAACACTCACTGGCTAGTTTTCCTGGTGGCCATATCAGCAAGCTGTTCCAAGAGTAGTGGGACATAGTCAGCGGGTAAGTTGCTAACTGTCCTTTTTGCTACAGCGGGATCATCATTTTGAAGTACTGTTAATATTATACTGTAAAAAATAAAATTTGTTTAATAAACACATAGGCTTTATTAGAATATTTTTTAAATAAGCTTTCATAGATTTATTTTCTATGTTCTATATGGGTAATTATTTACTATATATGCTGGTTAAAAGCCAAATTTTGGATAATTACAATCAATTTTCATACTTTTCAAATTGCTCGGTTTATTTTCCTTTTCTATGACTGTAGTTGTCTATATCTCTTCATCGTCATTCGTCTATATTAAGATAATAAATTCAAAAGTGACCGACTGTCCATTAACTGCTAACGCCTAAACGGCTGACCTGACTTGACGAATTTTGACTACAATATGTTTCTATACTTAGAGATAGAGGTGCAGGTTAAAGCTGTCACTGGCTAGTCCATACTAATATTATAAATGCGAAAGCGTGTCTGTCTGTAACCTTTTTACGCATAAACCACTAAACCGATTTAGAGGAAATTTGTGTAGCTATAGTCTGCTCGTTTGCCCCCTTAACATAAAAAAAATCCTTGTCAAAATATAAGTGTCCTTTTTTCCTTTCCCACTTACGGGGAAGGGTGGGGTAGGGCTCCAGTTACCTTACTTGTAAAAAGCATAGAAATAATTGTTTAACATCTGTTTTCTGTAAGGACCGGTCCGTATCACTAAAACTAGTCATCAACAAAATGACAATCAAGTCAGTGAAATAAAAATAAACTTACTTTTTGTCCTTAGAATGTAAACCTTGCATCAACAGCTTGGTCAAGTTCTGACTGACGGCTGACTTGCCCCGACTTTTCACGTCCAGCGCCAAGTTGGCGAGGCGAGCCTCCATTGGTACTTCCACCTGAAAAGTAACCACTATTAATGGACCTCTAATACCATGCCGGTAAAAGCGAGTGCTAGCTCACTTAAAACGGTCAGCGTACACACGAAGGTCAGGTGAGATGAGTGCCGCTCGTACAATGTTTTAGGTTCTAGGTCGGCACGTAGGTCTTTAAGCATTTTATTAAAAATTATAAAGAACATATACAATTATATATTTATATCAGTTGTCTAGTAGCCATAGTACAAGCTCTGCTTAGTTTGGGACTAGATGGCGTTGTGTCAATGTGGTACAATTTCTTTTTTTTTTAAAGCAGTTCTCGATACGTATTGTAAGGTTTCTGTCTCTGGAGTCCTGACCACCGGTATCTTGGTGCCTGCACCCAATACCGATGGAACACTAGTTTTTGTATTTTGGTATATAATCATAAATTTATTTAAAAATACAATTTATATGTATATTTAATTAAATAAACAACTATTAAATATTGTTTAACCAACCTTGTCGCCAGGCGTGGCTCGTTTCCTGACGACCCCACCCATAGGCTCCACATAAGTAACCAGCTTTGATTCATCTGATCTTGTTTTGTTCACGTTGTCCGTCTGTTTCTGTTTTTTCTTCGTCTCCCGGATTATAATCTGTGTTTTGGATGTCAGGACTGGGGTCTGCGTTGAAGTTATAAATAAGTCACTATAAGTATAGTTGTGAAGGTTTGGGCTCCATGAGTTTGGTTTCAAAACTTGCTATTTTAAATTATGATGATAATTTTTTTTTTTATTCTTGTAATGTATATTCACGTGGATCTTTTCCTTAACTTTTAAGACAATTTCAATCTAAATCGTTTTACTAGTAGTTAGTTATTGGTGTGAGTGCACATATATATACATATCCCTGTGATAGTAGAAAGTAGAAAAAAATAGACTTCCAATATACTGTCTTTAGGGAATTCATTTATTACAATTCTCTTCTTTTTTTTTGCAAACATAATGTTAAAAAACCCTCATATTTATCTTTATTAATACAGCTCTTCCCATTTATGATATTAACTACGTAAAGTAAACCTAAGCCCTCCCCCGCATAGGGTATTTCGAAGACTCCTTTCACCCGAATGGTTGTCCTCTCACATAGTATGGGCATGTTGCCTTAATTCTCTTTTGTTTACGTGTTGAGTACGAGTACCAGTATGAGTTTCAGATGAGTTACAGTCCAATCGCGTTAAGAAAATAGTGACGCATCGATCAAGATAAAGCTCTGCTCGCTGACCAATCAAGTTAATGGAATAATCGTTTCGTACGAAAGCTTGGATCCTGATTGGTCAAGATGCGGGGATTGATAGATGCGTCACTATTTACTTAACGCGAATGGTCTACAATTCAAACTGAAGTGAGTATATCGGCGCAACTAGTTTAATGGAGCCGATGACGGTAAAAAGCTAAGATATTTTGGAACAATACAGTGATACTTAGTTAATTTATTTGCGTAATTTAAGCATAAGGGTATAGCTTATAGCTTATACTCTATATTATTTAAGCATAAGGGTATAGGGTATAAGCTTACCACTCTCTCGAACAGAAGCACAGGAGGGTCCGTGTACCCTATGAGCAAGTCTGTGGCGGTCAGCCGACAGCACTGCAGGGGTAGCGGGCGGGCGTCGTCACTGGTGATCTGTATCGTGACTGATGGTTTTATCGGCTTGGTTGATGAGCTGTAACATTATATTATGGATAATAAATCATTGAATTAAAAGTACGATGTTTCTTTTTTTATGAAAGTGTCTTCCGCCGCCCATGAACGCCTGCAACTCAGGAGTCACAAACGCGTTGCCGGCCTTTTAGGAAGGAGTACGCTCTTTTCATGAAGATTAGAAGGACGTAAGGGTCCTCGAATATCTCAGATGATAACTTGTTCAGTGTGAGGAAAAAAGTGTCTTGAAAAGGGCACAGTGGTGGATCGCCAATTATCAAGGTGATGTGGATGAAATTTTTTGCCGTGTGGATCGATGGCGGAAAGTTGCGGCTGGTACTAGTCCGAACGATTCCTCTTGTGTTAGAGATATTAATAGCTTTCATAGTACAAGCTCTGCCTAGTTTAAAACTAACAAATGTTATTGTTATATAGATTTACAAAAAACAAACCCTATACCAACCCGTCTGGCCAGCGTGGTATAGTAGGCAAAAACCTCCATTCTAAGGAGAGGCCTATGTCCAGCAGTGGACTATTATAGGCTGTTGATGATGATGATGAAGTCTAAGCCAGCTAAGCACAAGAACTTCATCCCCTCGCCTATACTGCCGTGCCCGACGGGGTCCATAACGCACTATAAAACCCAATGTAACCCAATGTCTCCGTGACGTTATGATGTGCAATAAAACATTGAGTATTGAAAAATAAAATTGCTGTATGTATATATCTATATCCATTTTTAAGGTTCTGTACCTGTGTAATAGGGTACCACGGGACCCTATTACTAAGACTCTGTCTGTCTGTCACCACGCTGTATCTCATAAGCCGTGATAGTTAGATAGGTAAAATGTTCACAGATGATGTATTTCTGTTGCAGCTTTAACAACAAGTACTAAAAACCGAATAAAATTAATATTAAAGGGGGGCGCTCCCATACAACAAACGTGATTTTTTGCTAGACATTGATAGCGGCAATAGGTAGTTTAGTTTAGTTATATATTCACTTTCAAAATAAATAATTAAATTAAAATAAAATAAAACAAATATTTAAGGGTAGCTCAAATACCATAAACGTGATTTTTTTGCCGTTTTTATAGATAATGGCACGGAACCATACGTGCGCGATTGCGACTCGCACTTAGCCGGTTTTTTTAATATTTCAAATATCAAGCACAATTGTGTAAACACATGAAGCATTTTGATAACAATACAATTCCGATATGATAGTGACTCTTATATGGTGATAACAACTTCAAACAAAGTTTAGCAGCACCAGAATTTAATGGCTTTTTAGGAAAACATGTAACATATTATCATGTCATGCGTTATTCGAATGCTCTGACAGTGTAATAGTGATCCTGACTGAGTCAGGAGTCCTACGTTCAATTTTCAGGAGTAATAATTGTGTAATGTGTATGATCATTTTTTCTACTGAGTCTGGATTTTATTTGTAGTTATATTTAAACAATTATAAGTGTGTTTAACAGCAGTATAGTTACCACAGTACAGACTCTGCCAAAAGGAACAGACAAACCCATGTATGATGTTCCTTATTTACAAGAATCGGCCATATCTTTTTTTAAGAGCCAAAATGAGTATATCATCAGTCTGTCAACAAGTCGGGTCGCCTGATGGAAAATGACTACCGCCCCTCATGAAAGCCTGCAACTCAGGAGTTATAAAACAGACAGCCGTGGATGAAGTATCTCAAGTCATATACTGATCATCATCATCAACAGCCTTTAAAAGTTCACTGCTGGACGTAACTAGGGTCACTTCTGCCCTTATGGTTATCTGATCACAACACTGCACAAATACTCACATGGCCTGTAATGTATAAAAATAAAATACCCGAGTTTGTATTTAATTTTAAAAGGTGTTACTCTATCGAAAATATTACTAAGTTTTGTCGGTATCTACCTAGTATTCAATATTTGAAATATTACAATGAAACTGATCTGAATCTAGCATTTAACATATTCTATGATTACTTTTGCTTATTGTATCAACTTTGTTTTCCGATTATTAAGGTAAAAATATGGTTATCAAAAAAAAATAATTGGATGACAAAAGGACTACGTAAAAGTTGTAGTTATAAAAGAAAATTGCGGCATAAATATTATTTCACTAAATCTAAAAAAGATAAACATATTTATCTAAGGTATGACAAACTGTTAAAAAAATGTATTAATACAGCTAAACGAAAAACAAATAGAGATTATGTTGTCAATAGTAAAAATAAATGTAAGGCGACCTGGTCAGTTATTAAGAGTGAAGCGAGCTCTGCAAATAAGGGCAATCACATTACTGAGATACACAAAAAAGGTGAAAAAATTACAGATCCATTACAAATAGCTAATGAATTCAATCAGTATTTCATATCAACAACTAATACATTGAATAGCGACATTCATAATACATGTACTAAACACAAACAAAAGAACTCAATGTTTTTGTCACCGGTAGACGAGTCGTTCATACATAAAATAATTATGTCTCTTTCTAATACAACATCTGAGGGTTACGATTCTATATGTACAAAAGTTGTAAAAATGTGCAGCTATCAACTAACTCCTATGCTTACATTTCTGGTGAATCTTTCATTAGAGACAGGGACTTTCCCTCAAAAGCTTAAGTACTCAGTTATAAAACCTCTGCACAAAAAGGGAGACAAAACGACACTGAGTAACTATCGCCCTGTTACAGTACTGCCAGTGTTTTCAAAAATATTTGAAAAAGTTATGCATGAGAAACTTACATCTTTCTTCAAGATGAACGGTGTTATTGTGGGGAACCAATTCGGTTTTCAAAGAGGAAGATCTACCAGAGATGCAGCTTTCTCTTTGGTCAACGACATCCTTCAGAGTGTCAATGAAAAAATGTACACAACGGTGATGTTTCTTGATATGTCTAAGGCTTTTGATTTTGTTTCACATGTGCAGCTTCTGATGAAACTTGAGCATTATGGTGTTAGGGGACCTGCTTTGAATTGGCTAAAGACATACCTAGATGATAGATATCAATGTGTTTATGTGACACAATTAACCGCCAAAGACTGTATTGAAGTAAGGAGATCCAACTATGATTTAAATAAATTTGGAGTTCCCCAGGGCAGTGTGTTGGGCCCATTACTCTTCCTGGTCTACATTAACGACTTGCCAGAAGTTACTCACCATAACACTATACTATTTGCTGATGATGTGTCAGTAATAGTAACTACAAATAAAAATCTGACAATTGCACAACACGAAAATGACATCAATAATACCTTGACATCAATTATAAATTGGCTGAATTATAATAATTTACAAATTAATTTATTAAAAACGCATATAATTAATTTTAATAATTTAAATGACGATAACATACATTTAAATTACAATGGACTAAGCATCTCGATGGCTAACAATACGACATTTCTTGGCATAGTTATCAATGATAAACTTAACTGGAAGGAACATATAGACAAAGTCGCAAACAGGATAAATGGATTCTCTTTCGCTCTGTACAAACTGGCAAAAGTATCTTGCCAAATGACAGCATGTACAGCGTACCTTGCGTATGTCGAATCTGTGTTAAGGTATGGGTTGTTGGTATGGGGTAACGGTACAGACATAGATAAGGCCTTTATAGCACAAAAACGGTGCATTAGGTCCATATGTGATATCGCTCCGGACGTATCTTGTAGGCCATATTTTAAAAAACTAAAAATCCTCACGTTACCGTGCTTGTACATCCTCGAGGTATGCAAATTCATAAGACAGCACCCTCGAACATTTAAGCAAGCGAAGGATGTCACCAAAAGGAGCAACATTAGAAATCCAAATAGACTTGTGTTGGACATGGTACCTAGGTCGAAAAGAATTCAAAAAAATTGTTACGCGATGTGCATTAAAATCTTCAATAAAATCCCAGAACGATTTAAAGAACTACCATTAAATAAGTTCATTCCAGCCCTGAAAGATTGGTTAATTACAAATACATTTTATTCGGTCAAAGACTTTTTGAATGGTGGAGAGTAGTAGGTATAATTAATAAAAGTGAAATTATAATCAATACACAAACACTGATGAATAATGATGATAATAATAATAATAATATATAATAATGTTAAATTAATAATAATAATAATGTTAAATTTGCATGCTATCTTTATGGCTAAATGGGCCTGTTCGCAATATATTGAACCTTTAATACCACAACATGTACCACCCCATTTATAGCAAATATATAATTTGAATTTGAATTTAAGCCAGAGGGAAGGTTAGAAAGAAGGTTTTGGCCTACTATACCATGCTGGCCATACGGGTTGGTATAGGGTTTGTTTCAACTTTTCCTTCCCTTGCAGTGCTATTCTCCTGCGTTGTTTGCTCCCTTAGTTGGCTCTTACAATATTCACGGGATGAATAGGGGTGGTGACACTCCGCCACCACACGGACACACATTTACTGATATTTATAACAATTCTAGGGTGGGATATCCTGGTGGGGTGGGGTAAAACAGTTATTTTCGGATAAAAATTTAACGTATTGCTAGAATCTATCAACACCTGCTAATAGTACAATAAGCACTTACCCATTCAACAAATGTCCATAATAATGCACCACTCCACTCCTAGTAGCAGCTGCCAGCCTCAACCTCATCGCCCCTTCATCTTCTTTCAAATCCACATCAATAATTTTAGGTGCATCCTCTAATACAAAGTTGTATGTTGGGATGTTGGAAGTGACAGGAGACTTTGATATTGATTTCCTCCTCTGTTTCTTGTAGGGGGCTTCATCTCCATTCTGTTGAGGTACAAGGTCTTCGGAAACGGTTACATCCCAGAATGATAAAAGGCGTTCATTTCTATAACAAAATAATATTTATGTTACAACACTAATGTTACTTACTTGACATCTAAAATAACATTTTGTTTAGTTAAAGAAGACACTCCTGCACTTGGAATATATCCCGTGTCACAGGATACTTTACAGACTTACATGAAACAGGCACAAATAACATCCAGACTCAGAACAACAACTTGTGGATCACACAAAGTGTTGTCCCATGTGGGGATCGAATCCACAACACTCAGCGCATTAGAGAGCAACGAGGTGACTGCTTAAACCACTAAGCCATCCGTGCATATTTAAAAACGAATATAAAGCAAAGGCGAGCAACTAGGATACCGTATGGACTGCGACATAAGACTTACGAGGAACGCTTAAAAGTGTTAAAATTACCGACATTAAAACATCGCAGGATGAGAGGCGATCTTATTGAAACCTATAAAATACTAAGCTCAAGATATAATCTTCCAAATATCAAGGATATGTTCCTCCTCCAGCGCAAGGCGTACTCATCACGGGGACACAGCTTCGCAATAGATCGCTCACACTCACAGTCGCTGGTAGCCTATCACACTTTGAACAATCGTGTTGTTGCGATATGGAACAAGCTTCCGGAAAATGTTGTGACCGTAAAGTCAGTGAACAGTTTTAAGTGCCAACTAGATATATGGTTAGATAAGCACAACCCATTGGACTAAACAACCGTTTAATCACGTACACGGGAACTCTTACATCACAAACTTACTCCAGTGCAGTGATGTGGACACATCAGCAAGTTTGCTGCTCGTCCATAATACCCTAATAATAATAATAATAAAAAAGCCACTTACTGTGAACCCTCGATTAACCAACAGACATCATTCAACACAGCTATGCTTAGTAAAGCAGTTGGTGCAGCGTTGTGTCCCAAGTTTTTGACAACGGTCGCTTCTCCATAATGTAATCGCCATACTCGCACCTGGTACGAGGCTGCGACAATATATCGGGCTTGTGTGTGCTGCAACAAGAAAAAGTAAAAATAGAAAAAAAATACACAACAGAGATTGGATATAGGCCTCACAGAAGACCAATGCAGAGCTATTCTTTTCTTTTTGCTTTTTACTGAATGAGTGATGTTATAACATTCCCCACCCACACCCCTTCCCACACTAGGGGGGTTGTGTCTATGCACAACCCCCACCCCCTAGTCTTGGAAGGGCCACTTTACGGGCTCATCTGCTCATTTACTGTCTATAACACAAAAGAAAATGAACACTATTACATTTAATAAATTTTATTAGTGGTAAATAAACATCTTGAAATTATGGGCAAAAGCCAATTAATTTTTTGTCCGGAAAGTTATATCTTTGCTTTACAAGACAGGAAAGTGTAGTTTCACTAATGGTGGTACAAAAGAACTTAAAACCATTATTTGTAAAAAAAAAATGATAGAATATTCAGCTATTTACTTTGTCTCAACAGAAAGTGCAAGCAAATTAAGAACGTCGACAGTACAAAGGTAGTATAAATTGTTTCTGAATTCTGCTATTTTAATATTGTATGTATCAATAGATTGTCATCAGAATAGTTTTGCACTTTTCGTATTCTACTAACTATGTAAGATCAATGGTCTCCTAATAACTTGTACGTGATACAAATTTTATGGATATCTTTGTAATAGTTTGATAAACTGTACGTTTTAAATTTATAAGGAAATGAAATATTAAATTTTTCAGATTCGACAATGTTGTTGACATCAGTATTGATGAGCCATCCGCTATATCAACAGTCAATTGACACTGTGAATTTATGTTAGTAGAATAACAATATTTTGACTGATATAATGGCATCTTAATAGCGTTTCAATGGAATGACAGTGGCTTGTATGTTATCTTAAAATAGCAGAATTAAGGCTGCGTCAATATGCCATACAATTTGAAATAATAATGTAAAAAAAAAACATTGACTTACGTGCATATGTGGTACGATTTTAATTGCGCTGACATTATTTCCGTGTTTGCTCTTACTATCAACATTAACGTTATACTTATATCTAACTGACGAACTGTTCAAATCCCACTCATATATTTGATTCTCCTTATTACAACTGTAGAGTCCATATTTTCTGTGCCAATCCAATGTGTTTATACCACTCTGTGTTGTTTCGTTTGATAAAACCGTTTCAATTTTATTTTGTGCAACAGAATATATAAGAATTTTCCCAGTATTTGTGCCAAGGGCTATGTAGTATGTTTCTTCACTAATACTTTTCCGTCTTGCTCCTTTTTGTGGGGATACCTGTAAATTACAAATGAGAGTTACAAAACTGAAAACAAAACTCTGACTTTTGACATGGTCATTTAAAGATGAGGATTACAATGTCAAATGCGGTATATTATTACTGTAAAGACAGGCAGGCCATTGAAACAACTGATAAAGGCCTATATGCAAATAGAAAAAAAATAAAACTGCAAAAGAAATTTACATAAAATTAATATTGACTTTTTGAATTGACTGCACGGATGGCGTAGTGGTTTAAGCGGTCGCCACGCCGCTTCCTACTACGGCGAGTGTTGTGGGTTCAAACCCCACATGGGACGACACTTTGTGTGATCCACAAATTGTTGTTCTGAGTCTGGGTGTTCTTTGTGTCCGTTTCATGCATGTTTGTAAAGTCCCCCGCGACACAGGATAATATATTCCTAATGCGGGAGTTGCCTTTTATTAAAAAAAAAAAAAAAAAAAAAAAATACTTTCCAAAATTAATGAATTTTGGAAAGTATTAATTTTAAGTTGGGCCTGACAGATTTTTATTTTTTGCACTTAAAAATGAATTAAAAATCCTGATGCCAGTATTCTTAAGAATAAACAGATGATTATTAGTAAGTGTTATTATTTAGTTATTAGTATGTATTGTACAATGTAAAATATCTAACAAATTATAATATCATTTTGCATACTTTTAATATTTGCCAGCAGTATATTCAATAATTTTACCTAATTTGGGTTTATTTGTAATTTTTGTTATATATTAATTTTAAATAGAGATATGCTAGCCCATGATATGACCAGTCCTAGTTAAGGTTCTTTCTAGAAAATACTATTTTCGCCCGCCTGTGGTTTATTAATATATTCCAACTCCTTGATCATACCCAGTGAACACAACATTTTTTCGGATAGAAAGTAATTTATGTGTTGATCCAGGGTATCAACTACGACCATACCAAATTTTATGAAAATTGGTCCAGCCATTTAAGCGTGAAGACACACAAACTTTCATCTTTATGATATTAGTGTGTGTGCTCTTATGTTTTCATTGTTTTAAGCTTCTGGAAGTTACTTTATCAATAAAATAGGGCTATTAAAACAATGACACTCATTTACGTCGATAGTCTTATGCTTCTGAAAATTATTATTATGATGACAATAAAAAAAATACAACATTCGCACATAATTATGTTATATTCTAAATTCTGGCGGTTGCACAGCATCTTTTTAATCTGTGTATAGTTATTAGCCCATTCTCGATACATTTTTTCAAAGTATTATGGATAATATTATACATTCAAGGATAAAAATACCACATTACGATACAGTTGACGTTTGAGGTTATGTTTCAAATATTTACAGATTTTGTTTAGTAACTGACTAACTTTAAACTAAAAACATCGGAAACAATAGAACCGTACCAATTAATCTACTGACATTTTCAGACCTCAATTAAGGATGGTCGTAATTGTGTGGTTACAATAACAAAAACTTTTCAAAACTTTTGCAATGATATTGTCGTAATTTACTTGGACCAAATTAATCGAAAGATAGTTTATGTTATCTAAGATTATAAAGGCAGTAATGAACGCAGGAAATCTTTGTATTAACTCTTAAAAAATCAACACCACGTGTACTTACAGTCGACTGAGATGCTGAAATCCATTGCAAACACGAGGGCGGTGAAGATAAATGCAAGTCTGGTGTATACTCGTTTTTAATTAAATTAGTTTCTGTGTCCCATATTTTTAATCTGCCATCCTGTGTGATAGCAGAATAATATTTTCCATCTTCAGAAAACGCCGCCTCTGCCATGTTTCATAGCGGAATTTGCGAACTGACTGACGTCTGACAGCTAACGACTGGTTCCTTTTCGTTTGGGCTTGATCAACACAGTCCAATCCAAACAGCACGTGACGTTATCCTTCCTTTTCAATTTATTTCTCAAATTACTAATTAATTTAGAAAAAAACAAGCAAATTAAGTGAAACTTAACAAGAGCTATTTTAAAAATATATCAATAACAATAACTGAGTTTCCAAAAAGTATAGAAAAGACACATTCACGTTCAAAATTATTCAACTTTTGCGTATATCGTAACGCATTAGACATTTATTTAAAAGGGTGTACACGCGTAAAAAAATTTGAAACTACGTTTTGTTATCATGGCAAAATTAAAAAAAAATAAAGAAAATAAAGAGAAAAGAAAAATAATATGAGTAAATTTAATTACCTGTAAAAGAAAAAGATTTTCTGAATTAAAAAATATGACTTATTTAATTTTTCAAGTCAAATTGTCATTCTGCTCTGGCAATGAGCGCAGTCACATTTGTGTCGGAAGTAAGGCACTCACATCTTCCAAAATTGCATCTTGCACAATGAAAATGTTGCCAAATCAATAAAACAATCGACCAACATCGGCAGTTTCGTGTTGGACGTCACAAACACCTGTCACATCAGACTGACATTATTGTTGAGAATTCGTACTCTTTCGCGTTCATCTGTGCTCGCGAATGTTGTAGGCGGAGCTCGTAATTTTTTTAGTTTTTTGTGCTCTCGTTCCACTTTTTGATAATATTCTTTTATCATTTCAAATTTTCATGCTTTGTGCTGCTTTACCTTAAATTTTGTGCCTTGAGTGATGTGTTAGGGTTGTTTATGAGTTAGTATTTTGTGAATATGATGTCATTATTCTACGTGATACCTTGAAAACATGAGTGTTAGTGTTGAAGCAGACGTGTCTAGCCCTCTATCAGACGGGCAGGACGCAACCCTGGACCAGACGATCTCGAAATCGTCGTCCGACAGCCACAGCTTGAAGAATGAGGAAGTTGAGGCAGGTCAGGACAAAAATTCGGAGCCAAGCACTCCGAAAGTGCATCCGATGGCCTTCACCATCGACTTTGGTGAGGGAAAGTCTGTTAACAATAGCCGTCTGGAGGAGCTAGCAAAGAAATCGCAGGCTCGACATCAAAGAGTACAGTCAATGTCTGCGAGTACGACACGGCCTAGCCCAACGCTCCAGCGGCCTCCAATGAGCGCTAAACTTCCTCGTAAAGCGCAAGGCTACAACTCGGAAGGGTATTTTTCGTCGGACCAAGAAGATAGCGGTCTGTCCAGCTCTATCAAGCAACGTAACAGTCCATTAGCTCAAAACGCTACACACATAATCAGTCCAATAACAAATAGAAGTATCAAATCTCCAATTGTAGACAGTATCCAGCCAAAACGCTCGTCCAAAAGTCCTATAGTTGATAACATAATGTCTAGGAGTGATAATTTTTTAACCCGTCAAGGCTTAAACTTGCCATTAAAAAGTAATACATACATGAGAGATATATGTAGAACACCGAGTTATGGCAATATTAATAAGCAAGGCATGGGTGATATAATTGATCAGAGTCCGGAAGGTATTATGCTGACTGACATATCAAGTCCTGAATTAGATATTTTAACCCCTGACAATGGCTTATCTACCCCTGAACAAGCCAAAAGCCCTCTTATACGCAAGGGTAGAGTTGTTTCTGAAACTCCAGATTTGTTTAAAAAATGTATAACTAACGAACCGTTGTATATTGATGACGACATAGATAATCAATCTAATTCATCAACCGGTACATATACAATAGAAGGTGATAATTATACAGAAGAACAGAAGGCTAGAATGAGTATTGATAGAAGTTTTGGTACAGATATATTAACAAGTTCAGTTGAAGAAACAATAAAAAAACGTTCAACTGAAAGCAGTGACCCAGAGTTGGTTTTTGATTTCCCAAATACCTTAAAAGTTATTACGAAAGAACCTAGAAGAGATTTAGACTTACGTAGCCCATTGTTAAATCAAACATTTGATCTATCAACAAATAAAACATCAAAAGACAAAAATGTTTTAGAAATCTCATGTTGCTATGAATCACCAACGGATAATGATTTAGCAGCTCAAACGTCGAAACAGATCAAGTCAACTCGTAGTTACTTGGAAAAGATTAAAAACAGAGTTAAAACTATAACAGAAAAAACATTTGCCAAGTCACCACCAAAACATGGTGAAGATGTAGACATTGGTAGTTTTACATCGGTCACAACTTCTGGTGTTCTTAGCTCAAATAAAGCTCCAAAAATTGAACCAGTAAAACGTAGATGCAGCTTAACCAAATCTGAAATAGATCAAACCGATTACATTCACCGTTTGACTAGAGAAACATCAGTACCGGTATGTCTCGGTACTAAGCCGATGTTAGATACCACATTTGAAAGTACTGTACTGAAAAACGCTCAGAAAGCTTTAAGAGAAGATAGTGGAGTGTCGGACATGACACCGGAGCAAGTGGTTGGCAAGCTGTCATATTTGAGTCTGAATAGATGTAAAGGGGATAAGACTTGGATACAGGACTGGGCAGAAAGTGCCAAAAAGTACAATGATAATAGCTTGACGAAAGAAGAAGGTGTATTAGGGCTGGACAATGACAGACCGCCTATAAGCCCGAGGACCATAGCTGGCAAACGTAAGTAATTTGTTTTTTAATTAAATCTTTTCGAAATTTAATATTTAGAGAGTAGATTTCTTTTGGAAACCATAGTCCAGTATTTTTAGTTTATTTAGTATTTATTATTTCAAATGTATTCTTTATAAATAAATATCTATAATCTAAGGTCGCTTAACGCCTATAGGGTCCGAAATTAGGCGGCCATCATCCGCAAAAACCACACGCGATTAAAACCGTTTATTATGATCATCATCAACAGCCTTTACTAGTCCACTGCTGAACATAGGCCTCTTCTTAGAAAGGAGGTTTTGGCCTACTATACCACGCTGGCCAGACGGGTTGGTATAGGGTTTGTGTCAAGTTTTCCTTCTCTCTGCAGTGCTGTTGTCCTGCGTAGTTTGCTCCCTTAGTCGTCTCTTACGACACCCACGGGATGACTAGGGGTGGTGACACTCTGTATTCTTAATCCGTCACCACACGGACAAAAACAAGTTTATTATGAAGATCCTATAAAATTACGAATACCACCAAACTAAGATTTTATTTGTTGTATAAGAAGATTCATTCATAGGGTTTTGTTCTTGTAAGAATCTAGTTGTACCCTGCCCAGCTTTGCTGTGGCACATTGTTGGTTGCATTGATGAGAAATAAGAAAGAAAACTGACTCGAAAAATACAGAAAGAAAATCTTTGACGTGTGTTGTAAATCGTCTCAAAATATTGGGTGTTCAATTGGTACAGAACTTTTCGAGTTTTTGAAGGTACACAATGTAACTGAACATCTATACAAATAAATAAAATTGGAGTGTCTGTTTGTAATATTAAAATAACCGCTTTTTACTAAATGCTTATGTATGTTTACACGGTACATATGCCAAAATAACATTTTTTACAATTTTTGTCTGTCTGTCTGTATGTCTGTCTGTCTGTCTGTTTGTTCCGGGTAATCTCTGGAACGGCTGGACCGATTTCGACGGGACTTTCACTGGCATATAGCTGATGACATAAGCAGTAACTTAGGCTACTTTTTTAAGACTAGCTTCGCCCCGCGGCGTTACCCGCGGTTATAACATAACGCGGGTAACACCGCGGGTCTCGGCTAGTTTTAAATATTTTTATAACGGCTTATAGCCCTTATAGGATATTATTTGCCGTCTATCCGTCTTTCAAGACTTTATTTTTCCATATAAGTAACTTAATTAGTATTGTTGTGGCTAACAAGTAGGTATTTAAATCAGGAAAATTTAAAATAATAATACAATTGTTATGCAGAGGCCATCAAATATTAAAGTGAATTAAATTGAACAGAAAAAAACATCAGGTAATAGGAAGCCATTTACACATTAAAATACATAATATTCATGTGTTAATTGAAAAATATATTATTATTACTGCTTAATACTAGCTTTTTGCCCGTGTCTCCGCTCGCGTGTATGTTGGTTAACACGGTAAAATGTAGCTTATATCTTTACTCAATAATCAAACTATCTCCATGCTAAATCTTATTAAAATCTGTTCCGCGGTTTAGCCGTGAAAGCGTAACAGATAGACAGATAAAGTTACTTTCGCATTTATGATATTAACGGAGATTGTATTTTTTGTGGGGTACAATAAATAATATTATAAGTATCTCTGTCTATGTTACAACTCTACTACAGTTGGGATGGAATAAAATCGCAATCATCTGTCATAAATCATAATAATATGATTTATAAATGGTATAATCACACCTGTGACTGATTTACAAATCCACTGCGACTTATCATTAGACTTGCGAAAGGTCCAAATCTAAAAAAAAAGAACGTTATTTTTGATAAAAAGTTTGTTTTTTTGCTTAAGTAATTGATGGCATTATCTTTGTCTATGACCAAATCACAGTAGTGATATATCACACGTGAAATCGCAGTAACTGAACCAATCATTTCATCATATTTTAGATTTAATAGTAGCAATAATTTCCATCGCTAGTAACAACTGCGCTATATACTGCACTGATGTATTTAGGAAGCTTAGATTAATGTCCGTGGTTACGAGACTCGGGACTGATTGCTAGAGGACGCTTTAGCTAGTTGATGCAATTTATTGGTGCAATAAAACTTTGGTTTAATGGCTAAATTGTAAATAAGACTTAGATTTATGTATATATGACCGGGCCTGTTGGTCTAGTAGTTAGTGACACTTCCCACAATTCCCACCCAGGACAAATAATAATGTGTGATGAGTAATTTAGGTGGGGGAGGGGATTAAAAATGTCATGTAAAAGGTCGCAGAACGACCTCCGTCCTCCATAAGCGCAGGCCTGGGGGTGACAGGTGAGGCCATCTGTCACCCTAGCAGAAGCAGGCCGGGGTGGCGGCGAGCGCGTTGCGAAGCGCGCTCGCTTCCAGGGAGCACACGGAACATGGGGTTCCCACACGGGGGGGGGGGGGGCGTCTACTCGTCTGTAGATGACCCGAGGTATGTCGGGGCACCAGGGACTTCCTTTATAGGGTATACCTGGTTCCCCGGCTATTAGTACCCGAGACGGCGTGCGGTTTTAGTCGGTTCGAGTCCGACATGCCACCAACAGGTGGTATCCGAGGGAATTTCTGCACGGAAAAAAAAAAAAGGGGGAGGGAATCAACTCCTGAGTTGCAGGTGTCCATATGTGTCGGTAGTTATACCATAAAAAAATCAATATGGGAAGGAAGGGGGGGGGGGGTTAATAATTTTTGTGACATAAAGACGCGATAAATTCCAATTTGATAGAAAACCTTTAAATCGTCCGAACTACAGCCAGTTGGAGAAGGGTCATATCCTTCACGACTCTTCTCTGCTCCACTCTTACTCGTAGACGAATTTTAGTTCAACAAGGTCACAGCCACTTCCCGACGTGAATACGTATAAATAACACAGAAACTACACGTATACTCTAATATTGGGTAGCGTTAATCCCGCTGCTAATTTTGTCGAGCCATTCCGTAGTTTGTATGTCAAGGATGAACGAACGATCGCGCTTTTGATTTATATTAATAGCTGTCGGACTGTAAACGTTATAATTGACAGTTGATTTTGTGCTCTGTCCAGGTTCTGCTTTGTTTTTTTTTGAGAAGAATTTCCTTGAAACAGATTTCCAGTAGTGTTAGTTTACTAGAAATCAGATTTCTTTGAGTCTGATAGGCATTACAAGGCTCTGGCTGTCCCTTGATATATAACAGGCGTTAGATATCTGCTGTAAATAGTTAATAAAATATTCTACACTACCTGTATCCGTGTGGTGACGGATTAAGAATACGGAGTGTCACCATTCCTATTGACTCTGTAGGTGTCGTAAGAGCCGACTAAGGTAGCTTACTAAGTAGGACAACAGCACTGCAAAGAGAAGGAAAACTTGACACAAACCCTATACCAACCCGTCTGACCAGGTAGGCCAAAACCACCTTTCAAAGAGAGACCAATGTCTAGCAGTGGACTATAAAAGGCGATGATGACACTAGCTGTAACTCACGTAATTTTGTCTATGTCTCTGAAAAGGCAAAAACGAGTGTGCTTCAGTAAAACTTCTTTAAATAAATTAGAGAAAGAGAGAAAGAAAATTTGAACTCGCAACTCTCTCTCCTTGCCCCTACAGTAATATACGAAACGCAACTCCCTCTCTTTCTATCTTCACTAACTTATCTCTCTCTCAACTTCCGTTCGCCTCGCCGATCGTAACGCATTCCCCAGCTTACTCCCTAAGTCAAGCGTTCGTAAAGATTTTTTTTATTGATGCTTCGCTCTTATTTTTCGTAGTGTGATGATATACAGTAGAACCATGGTATTTCCTGAGTTGAGCGCGTTCAACCAACCAAATATACTATTTAGATTCAATATTTGGCTGTACTATTTGGCTTTAGTCTAGACTTTAATATTACTATTACTTCAAATCAAAATTATAATATTAAAAAAAAACTAAATGTGTCACACGACGGTCTGTGACCTAAACGGGTTATTGATAGGTCAGAAGATGACCTGAGATCCGTCTATATTTTGTTTATCTTATAAAACACCAGCTGCGCCCCGCAGTGTTACCCGCGGTTTTGCAGATACACTAAAACTGTATTAATTAGTAGATAATATATTTCAATTCGTTTGCTCATCCCATTTTTACACAATAAAAATAGCCTATATGTTGATCCAGGGTGGCAGCTACTGGCCGGGGTGGCGGCGAGCGCGTTGCGAAGCGCGCTCGATTCCAGGGAGCACAGGGAACATGGGGTTCCCACACGGGGGGGGGGGTCGTCTACTCGTCTGTAGATGACCCGAGGTATGTCGGGGCACCAGGGACTTCCTTTCTAGGGTATACCTGGTTCCCCGGCTATTAGTACCCGAGACGGCGTGCGGTTTTAGTCGGTTCGAGTCCGACATGCCACCGACAGGTGGTATCCGAGGCGATTTCCGCACGGAACAAAACAAAAAAAAAAAAGGGTGGCAGCTACTTACTACGTAGTAAACACTATCAAAATTGGTACAATACAATATTAGTGTGAAAATCTTATAACGCATTTAATATAATGCATATCAAATTATTTCTTTTAACTTGTTTTACATGTACAACATAAAGTCGGTAGGCTAAACCCGGTTATCGGATAAAATCATGAATAATTCACCACATTCAGTATCTAAACGCATCCATGATAAAATTTGACGTGTTTACCCGCATAGATAACACAGTGTATTACTGTGTATATATTGTCTATATAGTGTATACTTCGTTTTTATATTAGGTCTTTACCTATGAAATTGCCGTTTTGTATGCAATAAGTGAAAGTACTTATTTTTTCAAACTTTTTTATTTCTATTATCATAGTAAGTACGATAATTTTTGTGACGTAATTTCAAGTTTTTAAATAAAAGTTTTCAGACCGCCTCGGTTGTGTAATATCCGGCCATTCTGCTTCTTTCTCGAGGATTTATAAAAAAGTATAAATAAATAAACCCAAACTACGCAGATCCTAAATTATGGTAACCAATCAGCTGATAAACATACTTATGTATTTC